TTGCAATCTCCCAAACTTGTTCGCACTGGCGACAGCTTTCACTGTCATGTTCCCTGCTCTGGAGCCGCGTGGATCTGTCAAACATACCGGAGAAGTTGGCGCAGCTACTGTGTGAGCGCAGCGGCAATTGTGCTCTCAGGTTCAGCTGGCCCGTCTCTTTATACACGACACCCCGTAGCGAGTTCGCCGTCAAGCTCTGTACCGAGAACTTGCTGCGAGTTACGGAGCTCAGCCTCGTTGCAACACAAGTCCAGCTCGTGCCCTAGGTGTATGAAGGCAGCGCTTCACAGATACACGAGGTCTTTCTGCAGAATGCAGACGCATTTGCGTACGCCCCGCTGATCCTCGATTGTCCCCTGTTCCGTGGAGAGACCCCGCACTTGCATCACCTGTCCCTCGTGGGCATACGCATACTGTGGGCTACGGGCAATTACCGCAACCTTCGCACGCTCAAGATTCAACGTTGTAATGTTGGCTGCGGCGTTGCTGCTGATGTCGACCTCTGTCATATCTTCTGCAACTCACCAAACCTCGAGACTCTTATTCTGTCCCTGCGCACGACTCTCAATTGGGACGTTGGAGACGACGCGCTGCTGCCGGAGCACGGTGACATAGAACGCATCCCAGTGCGGGCGCTACGCTCACTGGTGCTTGAACTTCCTGTCCCTTATGCAAAGCACCTCCTAGCATCCATCGCGCTTCCTCCAACACTCATCCAACTTCGTCTGTGCCTCGAGCCTCCACTCACCCAACCCTCAACGGTTCTGACGCTCCTTGATCCTTCTCTCCTCCTGTCCTGCATCTTCAGCCCTACGACCCGTCTGCATGTGCTCGACAGAACCTCTGACGGCGGCATACAGGTCCGCGGATACACCTCCGCGGGCGCCGCCGAGACGCCGTGGTGGGAGTACGGTTGGAAGCACCGGAGCCGCCTCCCACGGGACATGCTCGAAGGAGTTGCGCGCACGCTGCATGCGCGATACGCCCTCTCACACGTGCACACCGTCGCGCTCGTTGCCGAGGACGGCTGCTGCCAGGACGCCAGCGGCGCGCTGCCACTCCTCGCGCCTCTGCGTCAGATGACGCGCCTCCACGCGCTCACGTGGTCGTTGCGCGTGCTCTGCACAATGGCGCAGACGTGCGCAGACGAAGGGCAGGCGCCGTGGAGCGCGCTTCGAGAGATTGAGCTCGTGGTGGCGGCGTGCGAGCCGAGCCTGCCCGCGGTATTCAATGCGCTCGTCGCTGTCACGCATCGGTCGCAGGCGTTGCGCACCGTCGATGTCACGTTTCGGATGCCGGCGTTCGCGGAAGACGAGGTGACCCTCATCTTGGATATGGTCCGTGGAGTCAGGGACATGGACGTCGCGATCGTGTGTCGGAGGATAGACTCATGTCAGATCCACGGCCAGATCGAGGCTGTCGAGGAGCTCGTTCCCGGAACCTAGTCGAAGTGTAGCGGCATTGATTACGTGTCATCGATTACGAGGTCATGACCTCTGAATCACAAGCTCATGATCCTTGCTCTCAAATCCTGGTGACGACTGGCACTCATCGCCGAGATCAGCTCCGCTTTGCACGCACAACACTCGCTGCAACGCCGCCTCATGAAGAAGCATGCTATCAAAGTCTCTGATAAGCCAATTTCGTCTCCTCTCCTGCCTCGATGACTGATGATCCCACAAACGCACCAACTAGGACGTCCCTAACCGACACACTACTTGTTCTGCCAAGCCCCAAAAGTTCTTGATCATTATATCATGTCTGTTGTGTAGCTTCCGGATCATTATCAGCTGGCCCGGCTCGCCAATAATTGGCATCGCTGCGGCATTCCACGCCATTTGTGAGTAGGCCGAACGAGAGCCTGGTGTTTTATTCCCTGTGAAGGTCCTTGGCGGTCTGCGTCAAGTGGGACCTACTCAAATACTTGTTGAGATGTACATCCCGAGGGTGTCAATTGGGCTGCACCTATTCAGTATCATTGCTCAAGCACCACATAACCACATAACGTACTCGGCAGTGGCGGTGGTAAGTCGCTGCTCTGATAGCGCAGCGCAATCAGGAGTCAGTTGTCTTCATAAACTGTCATGACATGTCCGATCAGCTCATACATGACCCACAACTATATAGTCTCCTCTTTGCAGCCTTTCATGGCTATATACCGTAGCCTCCTCGTTTTAAGAACTTGTCGCACAGGAGCGTACATTTTTGCCCGCGCTCGACACTCTCATACCCAATGGACGCAACCTCCGACGAACTCACCTCATGCTTCCCCTGGCCCGTGCCGCCGCACCCTGCAGTCGTGCCTGTGCCGTTGTGCCACGCAGGCTGGAGCAGCAATAGTACAGAGGCTGTGCTCGCTAACCTGAAGGACAACCACCAGCGATGGCACATCTTCTTCGGCGATAAGCACTTCCACAAGTGTGTTTTCATCCTGCGTCTTTGTGGGCTTGGGGACCGAGAGCTGAAGCGTGCACTCGCAGCCATGCAGCGCACCACCTGCTTACCATATACGCGATGGGTGCACCTGCGAGCTTGCTGAATGCGGCATACCACACGCATGCTGTGTACCTGAAGCCGGCGTTCCAGCCGCCTGAGACCAACGAGAAGCGGATAGCGAGAGAGGCCGCCGCCAAGGTGGTCATCGACGACACCAACTGGAAAGATTACCTGGGAGATGACCGGTACATCCGATCCCACAAAACACTGGCCTTCATCTGCTGACTGTGAGCCAGGTATTACCAAGCCTACGCCTCGTTCTTCTCTAGCAAGCTTCTGGACAAAGCGGCAGGCAAGAACGTCATCCAGCATGTGCTCGAAGACTATGTCTTCTCCATAGACGCGAACTTGACGCCTGGAAAGAGTGCAAACGGCCAGAGGCCCCTCGTCCTGGCATGTTTCCTCAGTGGCTTCATGCATCCGCATATCCACGCCGGTTATGGTGCAGAATTTGGCTTGCCTGGACTCATAGCAGAAGGTAGGCTCCATCTGTCATTTTAGGTAGCATGTGTAAGCTGACTTCACTTCGCAGGTGTTTCCGAGGCTGCGGTGCAACTAAGTGAGGCCGACGCGCCGCTCACACCTGATCTCTTTGGCGCCGCAGCCAACGCCACAGATCTGGCCTCTAAGGTCACATCTCTGGCTTTCTCGTCTGCTGCATCCATCAGCAACGTACATGCGCTCGAAATCCTCGCGAGGGTTGCAAATGACCCCACGTTTGCGCCGCATAATATCAGGCGGCTTGTACCAGCGGACGCGGACAAGAAGAGCGTGGACCGCGTTGTGTGCATTGGCGGAACGATCCTTGTGGAGTATCTCACCAGCTGGTTTGGGACTGTCAACGAGGACGTGGCAACGCTCCGTGCGAAATTTGAAGAGATTGTGTGGATGAACACGGTCATCTATGCTGTTGCCGGGTGGGCCGAACGCGAGCTGGGCGAGGACGAGACCAAAGAGTTTAATGGTGATTTCTTCCTGTAAGTAAGCTTTACCGCGACGGCACGTAGATGCTGATAAAGCTGCCGCAGAATGCACCTCGTCACCTCCTCTCTTCTTACTTCTTCGCTCCTGAATGTCTTGATACCGAAGTCCGCGGCGCTACTCTTGAGGACCTCCTTCGCCTTGAGCATCGTCCTCTACGTCACGCGCGGCCGTCCTCCGCTGCCGATCGACGCGTTCTACGCGCACACCACCACGCACCCGCACCCGCCGGGGCCAACGCCAACGCCGGACAAGGATATGCTCCCGCCAAACGAGCCGCGCTCGCAGCTGACACCAAATCTGTGGTTCCCAATTGTGCAGACGGTGTTCGTGCACCCGAACGAGCACCTCTGCAAGACGCAGCGGGCACTGTACCACTTTGCCGAGTGGTTTGGCGGCACACGTGCCCGCACCTTCGCGGGCCTTTCCTCACCCGATCTGAGCAGCCTCGGCGGCGGTGGGCTCACGGGCGCGGAGATGCTCGACGGCACGCTCTTTCTACATGCGGCCTGGCTTACGGCGGGCCGGCTCGGCTGGATGCGTGAGGGCGAGAAGGGGCATATGTGGGACGGGATTGCAGAGATTTAGAGAGATGATGTAATGTGTACGATGAGCGAGCGATGAACGCGATGAAAATGTTTCTGGGGACAAGCCCGCCTGTGCGGTGTCAGGGGTGAGAGCCGCCAAGACCGAAAGTGCCGAAGGGGGCCGACTCTTAGACGCCAGAAGGGTGGATCAGCGCATCAAAGCATACGATGCCAAACAATGCAAGCGGGCCCTACTATGTCACAAAGCTCAAACGTCCTCGACCAGGCACGACAACCAGCTCACGCAATGCCAGTATCATAGTCTGCGGTACAAATCGTCATGGATTGCTCTTGGAATGCAGGCGGTAGCACCTGGCGATGTACATCGACTGGAATCGGGGAGCTTTCCATGACATGAAGGTATATATCATTGACGAAGTTAGGAATGACAGTAACTCCCTATCTATAAATGAGCTCGCCAGCATTCAGAACTCTTGATGGAAATCAGTCAACATGCGCGACCTTCCAAAGGAAGGCACCCCGCTAATACTGTAGTGTAGGCCTTGTTTATCTACTGTATTCATCTGCCCGCATGCAGCCATGACAGAAAAATCCCCGCAGCTTAAGGAGGCTCGCTTAGACAGATGTCTACAACAACAGCATTGTCTGATAGAGGGACGAGACGCAGCTTTTCCGCTTCCGTCGAGCCCGTCTTAATCTGGATCGGCATGTTTGAGTCCTGCGATAGCGTGTCAACCAAGCTCTGACAAAACAGCTGCATGCAGCTCAGAGAAAGGAAGAACATCTGGTTTGACATGCTCAGTGCTTCGGTTTATATATCGCAGCGGGACCGCGCGTATGCCGTGTGCCGCGGCATCCGGATTGACCAGCACCGCTTCAGCAGCCCCGCCATTCTGGTTGCGCAGGTAGTTGCGTGCGTTTAGGTTTGCGAGCACCATGTTCACGTATAGCGCTCCGAGCGGAAATTCGCAGACCGTGAACGCCAGACTCGAAGAGCACCAGGTGATCTGTCAATACGCTATGTCAGCCAGGGGTGTACAACGATTGGACGAGCCTCGCAGTACAGCGTACTAGGCACAAGTCGATGGCGGCGACGAGCGCTGTCCATGCTCCGCTGTTTATCGTTATGATAATAAGCCGCCGGATGAGGTGACGGGAACTTGATGTTCATATCCAGAGGCGATCAATCGCATGAAAGGTGCACAACAAAATGGAGTGTGTACCTTTTTAGGGTCGGTCCACTCATCTCACGGGACAGCAGAGCAATCATCCATACTGTGATCAAGGTGTCAATAAATGCCGAGGCGGCGCGAAGTGTAAGCTCGAGTGACTGAAAAATATCATTTTTATGGTTGGCAGCGGCAGAGAGCGTTAATAAGACGTACGGCAATACTGTGGGTAGACAGCGTGGCTGTAGTGCCACAGACATTTGACCTGTTTTGCGGGATCTGAGCAATTCTATGATGACGATGACGAGGAGCAATGTGACACCTGCACGTACAGAACCAAGATACAGTATGCTAGAGGGTGCTCATCAGCGGTTGTAGAACAAAAGGCTGTCTCAGCACTCACTGATCATACTGACTACATGTAAAGCAGAAGATTATTCAAGGTGAGCTTGATGCTAAATTGGTACATCCACGCATCTATGCACCGATTTCTGAAATTGCAACAGATCTGGAAGTGATGGGCATGAATTTAGGCATCATAACCGACATATATATGCCTCACCACACCACACAAGCATATACAAATCGGCCAGGTTCTTCCCCCTTTGACTATGGAATACTAGGAGGTGAAGTTATGCACCAAAGCTGAAACTGACTCACATTTGTAGATGCGAAACAGAAAAAAAATAGCTGCGCTGAAAAAGCGGTAAGACACTGATCAGGAATGGATAATTATGCGGCGTTTAGTAGGGAATGGTGCGTACGGAAAGCCATTCACGGTGCTATCGCCAGATGTCAGAAGTCAGATATCTAAAGAAATGAGGAGCCATAGGGTGGCGTACAATAATGGCTCTGTCATTGAAAAGAAAGAAAGCAAAGGCAGAATCAGGTGAGTTTCATAAACTCACTTTGAGCGTGAAGCAAGATTTGAACGCACGGTTTAATTACTCGCAGGGCCTGGACTGACCCCCAATTCGTGATGGGAACAGAAAATACTGATGTGCTTATGTTAGCAAATGTAGCGCGTGTGTAGATACCTGTATTTTTGCCTACATCCAGCCCACGTAACTGCTTCAGTGGCCGTTCCTATTGCCCTGCATGCTATATGAGCATGTGCAGAGAATCTACCAAGAGACAACATTGCTAACTAGTGGTTGAGGGTCCAGTCCAGTCCGGTCTTTTTTTAAAATTGGGTGGGACCAGGACTCAGACTGGTTAAGGACCAGCGTCTGCTTGTGCAGGACCAGACCAAGACTGGGTCCTGGTCCTGTACAGTCCTCCGTGCAGTCCTGGACTGGTCATAAACAGTCTAGGACCAAATGCGGTCTTAGACCGATTCAGACCAGCTCAGACCAGTCCTGCCCTGATAAATATGGCGCAAATAAACAAATTTTGATTTTGAACTGCATGTACAGGTAGACTAGCAGTATACTAAGCTAATTTCTGGACAAATCAGTTTTGAGACCACACTACTCAGCCTAATGAGTCAAAGAGGAGACAGTGTGTGAGTCTCAAGAAGGCCAGAAGAGTGTACCAGATGCCTATCTCAGAAGTGCTATATACCATTCATGCATTGCCAGACTGTCTTTATGTACTGTAAGGCATCACAGAAATACTGTTGCGTAGAGTCTGATATTGAGGGAGTGTTTGACATGGCTGAATATTTGATGAACTCAAAGGCAGGGGCTCAAAAAATAGCCACAGCTGTGGTTTGTGTTGTTAAGGTTCAAGAGAGGTATTTGGCAGGTAGACAGCTACTTCACGTTATGTCATACATATAAATGAAAGGCAATATTGTATATGGGCAAATATAGGTAAACAATGTGCGCACAAGGCACCGGTAAACACTGTACACTTAAAAATCAAAACAAATATTCAGCTAGTGATATGCAGGCACAGCTTGAGCTTAAAGCCCAGGATTGGGCCCATGGCAATGTTGGGCTGAGTCCTGACCCCAAGCCTGAGCCTGAGCCTGAGCCCGGCCCAAGTTGCCAAGCTTAGAATAAGTTCACACTAGCAGAGACTGCCCACTGACTCAAGCCTGGCCTTGAGCCCACTGCCAGGCCAGGCTCAGGTTAGGCTTTTTTGGGCTGGGCTTGCAAGCTTTGAGCCAAGGCTGCACATTACTATATTCAGCAAAGAAAACAATGCTCTGCTCACACGGCTGGATTCTAAATAGAGAAGAAGGGTATCATGCACCACTCTCATCATTCCCAGCATTTCTGTATAAAACCTCCATATTCTTGAGAGCCTTGTTATCTCTACGCTCAGGCTCCATCTTCCCATGGTCATGGCTTTAGCTGATTATGTGCAGTAACCGCATCCAAACTTGAATAAATCATAAAAAGAGTTTTAAAAAATGTATTAATCTGTGCTTAAGCTGGCTGTGTACTTGGACAAGCCTACAAGGGCATGGTTGCAGTTCAGAAATCACTAAGATATACATGTACCAGTAGCCAAGCTGCTTTCTGGGTGCTGCATTTTTGTTACTTTATATTGGTCTGTGACTGGTCCTGACCGGTCATGACCAGTCCTAAAAGCACCCAGCGCCATTTAGGACCAAGGACTGTGACCAAGACTGGACTGACGTAGGACTGGACCATACCCAGTCCTGATCAGTCCAGTCTCAGTCCAAGTCCCGGTCCCGACCGGTCCTTAGGACCGGACCCTCAACCACTATTGCTAACCAGAGAGAGCCCACCTATGAACACAAACTTAAGTTCGGTGCGGCGGAGAGGTCGAAGAGAGTACTAACAAACACTTTCAAAGCCCAATGGTCCCTATCATAGCTATTATTTGTATGTAAGCGACGCACCCCCTGAATGATATGCATTTAACACGCACTTCAGGAAGTACAGGAAGCTGAATAAAACGTCATCTTCAATCAAGAAAAATCTAGCCTGGCAGGACTCAGGCTCACGTTTGCATGCATGAGATTCCCCAAAGTGCGGCCCCAATAACCGGTATCCCGAGCGATGACATGATGTCGAGCCCCTCGAGGGGTGGCGCGAGTTCAGCGGCCATGTTGTACACACCGAATCGATCGAGGGACTGTTCACGCAGTTTGTAGCAAGCTATATAGATGAGGAAGATGCCCTTATGAAGCCTGTGGAGAGTGCAGAATACAGATGGGGGTGCGCGCCCACCACCGAGCCCTTTTTGTCTTGGGTTCCTCTGAGCTATCCTGTGCGGCGCCAGGCGGGACCCAGGTGGGACCTGTCACACTAGGCTCACCGGTGGAAGTAGGAGCGCCGGAGGCGCATGACTGAAGGTGCCGTGGCACGAGCAACGCGCATCAAGACGTCGACGTATCTAATTCCTTGTGTCATCGTAGAGGGCTATGTTTGATCCACTCTGATGATCAACATCTGGGTGCCGTTTGCCACTGCGACACAGAAAATCTGATAGGCGTAACTTAGAGCTCAGAAACGCTGTGCGATTGGCATGATTGCAATGTCGTTCACCTGTTCCGCCACATTTTCCAGAGGCAATGTAACCTGAAGCGAATGCAACCTTCGGGTCCTCTACGACGCTTTAAGGCACCGCATCTTTAGAATCTTCTCACTTGCCTGCGATGCTGATCGAGGACATCAGGGGAATCTTGATCATTCAAGAAGACTTTGCGCAGGCATGGGAGTCGAACGACCGAAGGGAAAGGTTGAGGCCAGCGATCTAGGTGTTATGGATAACGTGAGTGACGGAAGATAGGATCTGGCCGCAAACGCACCGGCCGCATATGAGCAGCTGTTGTGAACATCGGTTTGAACCACGAAGCCTATCCTTGAGATTTTTGAGGCCAAACTGGACGCCGAGATAACCAAATTCACCTGACTTCCCTTTAGAAATCTGACTGCTGCGCACGACCTCCACGGGACAGACACGTAGCCTCCAACGAGCGAGCTCTCTGCATGCTCTGTCCGAAGACCCTCGGACATCGTTGGAGCTTCGGGAGCCACAATATCAGATGCTTCATGATTTCTTCTGTTCCTCTTTCATCGGGAGGAAACCTTCCGTCCCTCGGGGTCGGGGTCGGTACTGTGACCGACTCGAGAGGGGACTTTGACATGCATGTGAAGTCTGATACATGAGGCCAGAGTAGGACGAGAGCAGCGAAAACGGGCACTCGGGTGAGCTTTGCCTGTCACAACAGGCTGGCCCGATGAGCTACTAATGGCCATGTGTAAGCACCTCTTACAAACAGTTTCAAGCACAGAAAGGTGTGAATGCTTCGTGGATGCCTAGATGTCAGCGACACACAGATTCCCGTTGTGGTGTACCAACGACTGCTCGATTCAAGGTGTGCTTAACCATTTAATAGCACGTCTCTTCATTACATTTGCCAGACATGACACCTACGTGCTTACAGCATCGATATCGCGGAGCTAATTCACAGTAGCTCGACGTCAACGGGTAGACAAGGCCCAAGCTCTGGCTTGCCAGCGACCCAAGCCTGCAAGCTGGACGAGATCTTGAAAGTGATGTTTTCATGGGTGTCGATGAACCTGAAGCGTTCCATCATGTACGTTAGAACCATCTGAATGGAAGCAGGTCAGTATCTCGCATGCAGAGACGTGAAAACAAGCTAACCTTCATCTGCAATAGACCTGTAATGGCGGTGCGCGACAATCAGCTGACCGTACAGCGACGTAGACTAGGACGCGATCTCACCGAGCCGCACGCCGATACAGTTTCTGGGCCCGTCGCTGAAGACGAGCATATGCGTCCAGCCTGAGTACTGTCTGGTGCTCGTGTCGACGCTTCCGTCTAGCCATCTTTCGGGGCGGAACATTTCGCCATCTTTGTACACGGAGTCCATCTGTTGGATGGAGAGAATTGGAATAATCACAACCTAGAATTCAGGTTAGAAGATGCGGAAAGCGTCGTGTAGCTTTGTATACACACCTGTCCGGGCGAGACAGAAAGTTCTGATACGACCTTCCCATTCGAGAGTTTAACGGATTCGCGCAGTGGGATAACGTCCGCTTTGGTCGCAACGCGCTCCATGTACGCCAACCCAGGGTAGAGCCGAAGGCTGAAAATGCGAACTGTGAGTAATGGCACCTTGAAGTCGTAGAAGCTCGCACGTTTCTTTCATGACGGCGTCGAGATATGGTAGCTTCGTCTGGAAATCGTCATAGTCGGGCTCGCCGGAAAATGCCTTCAACTCTTCCCGTAGACGCTCTTGTACGTCCGGGTGGCGAGCGAGTTCCCAAATAAGAAAAGCGAGGGTCTGGGTTGACGTCTCGTTGCCAGTGATGCTAGTGATTTATAGGTCAGTACATTTTCCTGGTAAACTATCAGAAAATATGCGGACATAAAGGTTGAAATCTAGTCATAGTAATGTCACTTCTGTGAGTGAGATCTTGGCGGGATAATTTCGCGACGTACCTGCGCGTAGAGTTCCTCTGTCGAGATATTACCTGCGCTATGGGCGATGACTGCGAGATATGTTGGGTGATAAAATCGCTTGAACGAGTCGCGAAGCTTACGGAGTCTGCTTAATAGGTCCTTATGCGACTTAGGGTCCACTCCTTCGACAACGTCCGCATTGCGCCGAATCATCTCGTGAGCGATCCCGGACTACACAAGAGCTTGGTTGCACGTCGTAAGTCACAAACTGTAAGCCGCGTACCTGAATGACCTCTCTTGCCAAGCCTTGTACTTGAAGCGCCGGGATCGGAAGGTCGTTGAGAATCGGGAATCGCCTAAGGAGTGACAACAACTGGCATCGAGCGTTGAGCGAGAGGTGCTATCCGGAAGTGGGAGGGGCGACGGTACGTACAATGAAATCAGAGGACTTTATTGCTGGAGAAACGCCCACGCGACGGGCTTCCAGAATTTTGCGTGCATCCTCACTCTCCCCGCCTTCAAAATCATGGAGGAACGCCTGCGCAGCTGCATCAGCCGGCGAATATATTTGGAATTGCTTGGACGCACCACTCTCCCGATAATCGTAAGACTGCATAGAGAGTCGTAAGTAGCTGCGATTTACCCCACGGAGACTACTGCTGCCCACGTACGTCGCTTTTCCCGTCACGTCAAACAGGTTGACCCACATCTTATCGTTGTTGGCATGGACCTGGTGAGTGAAGTTGTCTATGACCTGAACGGTACCGTGTCGTATATCACCAAGGTTAGATCGCCCAGGCTATTCCGGTGAACGTAGATTACCGACCTGCATGGCTGCCACCCGCATATCGGACTCCATGTCCTTCATGTTCTCGTGTCTGGACGGCGGTGAGCAATGCCATACAACGAAGGTGCGAAATGCGCTGACGATAAGGAGGGGCCGACGAGGTGACGCATCCTCCTGTGTTCTACTTCGCCCTCCACCCATGCCATACCTTTCCCTAGCAGACGACCAACTCGGGGCCTGACCACCTTGCTATGATCTGCGTGGAGTGTGAGCATATTTCTTGCTATCCCGAGGGTAGTTGCTCGCACGATAGTCATATACTCTCTTCTGCAGGATGTGTGCAATGCCTGCAGGGTCACAAAGGACGAGCTTAGGGTAATGTGAGCCCCAGTCATTATTGAGAGTGTACATGCTACCCACCACGTCACGAGCCTGAAGGGTGCCATCGGTGAGCGTGCGTAGTGTCACACCACGGGTACCGACTTACGCCAAATGCGGCCTTGATGCGATAGGTCAAGCCCAACTTGTTGGCCCATTCCCTGAAAATACGACCAGGCGCATTCTTCACAATCTCCCGTTCGTGGCCAAAGATCCAGGAGGCTCCAGGCTGAGCATGTCTAATTAGCATACCAGACGTCAAGGTACAGCAATCCTGCGAGTGCTTACAGGCGCTGGTAGCCCCTCCACGGAATCCGTCGCCCTCCAGACGGTACGGAGCACCCAGAGCACTATGAGTATTGGTATGAAAAGGGAAGGGTGGTCGCGCAGCCCGGTTTGCAGGTCTTGAAGAGCCGTTAGCATCGTGCAAGATAGTTCGTTTGTGCACTCCGGCCCTATTTTCGTATAAGTATGTCGGGAATGACGATAATCGGAATTATCTCCATTCGTTCACCTGAGCATTTTGGCAATCATTTTGCCTCGTGTGAGAGTGCCGCAAGAGAAGATGTCGGCCCCCGCGATGGAAAACCCCGATAACTTGACTCATTAGGCGCTTGAATGAGATTCGGGGTCTTTACCCGAGACACGCCCGCCGGCCGCCGACCTAAAGCTCCCTCCCTAGTCCTGCTATCTGCAGTGCTTGTTCGTCCCGTGGTGTGTAACTGCTTCTGATGTAGAGGCCGTAGGACGGCTCGGGTGCTGATTGGAATCAACGATTGCTGTTCACATGTTCGCTCAGGCCGCCGAGGCTGACCTCGGTGACAAATACGCAATCTGCCATAAGCTTCATCTCCGCAGAAGTCAAAGGTTTGAATACGGCCATCCGAACATTCGAATCCTCAAGCTTGACATTCCGTAGGTGACATCGGCTCGTGAATGATTACTGCCGAACCGCATTGTATGCCAGCACCACAGTACGTAATGGTCCTGGCTGAGGGAAAGCATCAATCCTGGCATGGCAGACCGTGTCCTTCGTAGAGCCCGCAGTCTAGAAGCACTGGGAGGCTCTGTGCATTGGGCCATAATTCATTTTTGCTTTCCGCCATGTCACTACAGCTTTGGGCGGTCTGCGTGGTCATCCTGCTAGCCTTGGTCTCGTCTGGCCTGCGGCGGCGCCGTTCGACCGTCAAATTCCCGCCTGGTCCCCCCTCGAAGCCTGTGATTGGGAATATCCTCGATGCCTCTCCGAGGGCTGGCTGGGTTAAGTTCACGAAATATCGGGGCATTTATGGTGAAGTTGGCAGACCACGTTTGCTTCCTCCTTGTTGACCATCTAGCAGGCGACCTCGTCTTCTTCCATGGCTTGGGCAATAATGTGCTTGTTCTTAACTCTATGATGGCGATTCAGGACCTCCTCGAGAAACGGGCGGACATTTACTCGGATCGCCCTGCATTCACGGTCGTGGGCGAACTTATGGGCCTTGAACGGGTGAGTTACCTCCCGCATACGCGATTTTCCCCGCTGACGGCGGAAATAGAGTATGGCTTTGCTCCCCTACAACGAAGAGTGGAGGGCTCAACGGAAGCTCGTTCACCACGCACTGAGTCCACGCGCTGTCAAGCAGTATCATATCGTCCAAGAAGATCTCGCCGCCATTCTCGGGAAACAGATATTGGATGATCCGGAAAACTTCTTTTCCTATGTTCGGCTGTGAGTTGAGAATTGGCTGCGTTCTTAGGCCAACTGACGTCATCGCACAGGACGGCATCGAGACTCATTCTGTCCATAACTTACGGACTGTCCGTAGAGCAGGCAGAAGACGAGGTCTGTCAAACCCGCTCCTTAAACTCTTTATCTAATCTATGGCAGTACATCACACATGCGGAGGAAACGATGCGTATGGTCACTGATGCAACGTTACCTGGGGCATACGTTTGTGACCTTATTCCCATTCGTGCGTCCCAAATTTGCCCGTCTGCGGCCCTTAATCCAAAAGAATCTCACCGCAGATCACCAGTGAAGTATTCGCCCTCCTGGGTTCCGTTCCAGAGGGAAGCAAAGCTAGGAAGGGAGATGATTGAGCACTTGGTCACCAGACCTCTTGAACATGTCAAAACGGAAATGGTTGGTTTGTAGACCATGAATCGTGTCTCCCGTTCACTTTTTTTCGATTAGCGTGCTGGTACTGCTCCGGTATCGTTGACGCGGGATCTCCTAAATTCTGAAATACAAGGCATGAAGGATAAGGAGCATAGCATCAAGTGGGGTACGGGGACTTTATATGGTGGTATGAATGCATTTGCTACGCGATTCACGACATCTGCTGATACAAGTTTTCAGCTGGTGCTGAGACCGTGAGTCCCGATAGACAAGACAGTAAGTGGGTTGACCCACCTTGAATAGACATACACGACAACACTCGTGTGCATCATGTTGATGGCCATGCACCCGGACAAGCTGAAGAAAGCCCAGCACGAGATAGACAACGTTGTCGGCATTGACCGTCTGCCACTAATAAGCGATCGCGACGACCTCCCTTACGTTGAGGCATTGATCAAAGAAGTTATGCGCTGGCACCCAGCACTACCGCTGAGTGCGCACGGGGGCAAGCCTACCCAATGCCTAACGCTTACCGTCTGCGTCCATCTAGGCATAGCTCGCTGCACGGCCAGAGACGATATCTATGAAGGCTACAACATACCTAAGGGCACAATCGTGATTCCCAACGTCTGGTAAGCCGCTCCTGCCATTGCATCTACGTGCTCTCCTGACCATTCGCAGGGCCATCGCAATGGAGCATACTGATCAACATGGTCCAACCGCATTTATCCCAGAGCGTTTCCTCGACATCAACGACAAGATCACAGATCCGGCGTTGTGGGCTTTTGGCTTTGGCAGACGGTAAGCATCTTGAACAACACGTCTCGCATCTGTCACTTAGCGGCCTGTCAACACAGCGTCTGCCCCGGAAGATTTCTCGCGGAGAATTCGGTATTCATTCTGATCTCCACCATCCTGGCGATGTTCGACATCCTTCCCCCTGACGACGAGGAGCTCAAAATTGAATTTAGCGAGGGCCTTGTCAGGTAGGAGTCCCAACGCCTTATACTGATTGTGCACTGGCTCAACGCACCCTCAGCTACCCCGAACCCTTCAGGTGTCGAATCATTCCCCGTTCCGCACAGAAAGCGTCCCAGATCGCGACGCGTGCGGCTCAGTCGAGCGTTTGATTGCCATGTACCAACGATTCCTTCTGTATAATAACCACATACGTGTATCCAGTGGCCCATTTTGCTAGTCACAGAATATACGACGTCTTGTGAACATATGTGATTTGGATTAAATTCAGAATCAAGTTGACCCTTGGCACTAATGCAATGCTTAAGACCACAGTGGTCTCGTGAAAGAACCTCGGACAGAGTCCGAACAGGCTCCGGCCGCAATATGGGACCCGAAATATGCTAGAAACTACATTTAAATTATTGAATACATCAGAGTTGATGCATCTGAATCCTAGCCTTGTCTCTGGATGCATTTTGCTTGGATTCATAACGTATGGACAATGCGAAAGCAGCTACAGTCGTTAAGCTAATAATGCATAGGGCGCTTAACGTCCGGCTTCTCTCCGAAGAAAAGAGACATTTCCTACGCATTTTTTTTCATTTTTATGCATTACAGTGTAGGACCACTCCTTGGGACATTCCACTTTCTGCCCTCGCACAGCCTGTAGGGCCTATCACTACCACTTTACTGTATATAACACATCTGTATCTATATGCCATTAGAAACTCAGAGCCGTCCGGTGATTGTAGCGTAGGTGGGGGAGCAAAAAGCCTCGAAAATTGTCAAGCGCGCCGGTTTCAGTGATGCTGCGACCGTCATCAGAGTCGCACAGTGAGCCTAAAATTCGCAAAAATATTCGTTGATACTCGAATTTATGCTCCATTCATGTAAAAAATGTGCATAGTGCTCAGTTGTTAAGTGTCGAGCTAGAATACATCAGAGATGATTCTACTGAGCTTAGGCGTTACTGAGGCGTGACAAATCTGACTGCCGCGTGACCGCTGCATCCGCCAAGACTGCTGGTACAGGTCACAAATTGTCATTCTTGTCACATCAGTCACGGTGTCCCAAGGAGTGGTAGCCGCTGTCCTGGACCACCTCCGTCTTGTGTCCTTTGTCTTGACTTCAGCTTTTGTCTTTTCGCCTTGCAGCTTTGCACTGAGGTATGTCATATGTTTTAGTAATATAATACAATTTATTTGGTATTTATATGCGAGAGACATACGAAGGGGAAGCGAATATTGATCAGGTGTCCCAAGGAGTGGTCCTATACGAGCTTAACAACTGTACGTCACCAAGATTAGAAATGGGAGCGCCCATCATATCCAAAAAAAATCGTCTCTCTAGCATTAATAGCGTATCGTTGGGGGCAGTACTAAGTACATGAGATCTACATTTTCATCACGAGTTTGAAATGTCCCTAAATCCGTCCGTTCGTAGCCAGGGTATGCTTCATGGGTGAAAAGGCTGTGACTGGACAGACGCTGTCAGTGACGACATCGCCGCATTATTGTTGTACGAGACTTACCTTTCCAGCCTCCATCGAGTCTGCGTCGCTCTTCAGTGTCATCGACTTTTCAATGCGAATTTCAACATGTCCTTGCTGTGTGCGCATCCAGCCGAGCTCCAGGCGTAAACTACACGTGCAAGTCAGAGAGAACTTGAGCACTCACGTCTGCAGAGGAAATCCCGGTACTTCGGTTGATGCGCCGCAGTGGGATCGGGGCTACGTCGCGCGGCGCCGTGTCAGTGCTGCCAAACGTTCCCTCAATGACCTTGCTGCCCTGCCAGGTGCCGCGCAGGTACTCGCGCACGTTCAGATTTGCGAGGATCATGTTAACATAGAGCGACGTGAGCGGATATTCGCAGATGCTGAACGCCAGATCCGTGTAGTTCCAAGCAATCTATCATGGATCCGTTCAGTCAGGACGCGACAGAAGGGACGGCGCAGTGCGGCGTACCAGGCTGAGGTCAATTAGAGCGACAAGCGCGGTCCAAAAGCCGCTGTTGATGGACATAATGATGAGCCGGTAGACCATGCGATTAGAGCTTGGCGTCCTCAGTGATTAGCCAAACAGGAAAGACACTCAGGATGGGGTTTTACGGTACCTGGAAAACGTTTTCTCACCCGTCTTGCGGGACAGCAAGGCAGCCATCCACACTGCGATCATAATGTCTGCAAATGCGGAGACAGAGCGTGCTACGATTGCAATTGCCTGTGGGAGATCATTCGTAAGGGTCCGAATGGCAGCAGTGAAAATTATCAATCAGACGTACAAAAATGCGGTGAGAAGAAAGTGTGGCGGTGATGGATTGAATATTCGACCTATTACATGTCAGGTCAGCAACGGGTTGAAGGTGATTTCATGCAATGGAAGATCGCCACGCACAGGATCAAGGCAGAGTAGGCTAGGAATTGTCCCGTAAGTAAACTTAGCGTAAGGCAAGACGCAATAACCCACCAATAATCGAACCTGCACGACAAGCACAGAGCGAAGTCAGTGAAAGCGGAACACGGTGTGCCCGTATTCTCACGCACCGAGTCCACAAGATGCGATCAGGATCTGGCGTTTGGCATCAGCAAGGGTCATCTGAAGCACACTTTGATGATACGACTCACAGCACTGGCCATGCATGCACGAACTAGCCAGCCTTTTCCTCCTGTAACTATGGGATACCATTTGGTGTAAGTACCGGTATACCAACGTGAATATCGACATACATCGGTAGATGCGATACAGGAAGAACATCTGCGCTGAAAATGCGACAACGGCCTAAAGGTGGAGTGAGAAATCAGATAGCATTTAAGAAGGCGCAACTCGTACCGAAAGCCATGTACGATGCTTCCATGTGGTGCTAGGAATAAGGAGCTTGTAAATCAAGAGTCACAGATCGACGTACAACAATGGCCCTGCCGATACAATAAAGTTAGTCCATCAGATTTGCAAGAAGTAAAGGGGATAATCAAACGAACGTATTGACTGTTAGCAGGTTCTGCAACGATCCCCAGTTCGTAATGAGGGCTTGAAACACTATCACACCAATGTTAGCGGAGGAAGTACAATAACAGAATGGGTTCGTCATTTGCTCACTTCCGGCCCATGTGACAGCTTCAACGGCAGTCCCCAGAGCCCTGCATGTGTTTTAAAAGGGGGGATTGTATTGCTGGATGAAGAGGTTGCTTACCAGAGATAGATGACCTACAGATGCAAAGTTAAAATTGACATAATGGTGGAAATTACGACGAAATTACTAACGAAGATTTTCAATGCCCAAGAATCCCTATCGTAGCTACAGTAGACGCGTAAACGCCGTCTCCTTGTGATGAAACTCATTGAACCTACTTCAAGAAATACAGGAAGCTATAAAACCGTTATCACCACATCCCATAAAGCCATAAAGTGGCACTCACACTTGGGTGCACGATATCCCCCAAAGTCCAGTCGAGAACACAGACCCAAGAAGCTGCGTCCCGTACGACGACATGACGTTGAGCCCTGTCGGGCCCATGAGCGGCGAGCTGGACGAGTTGGACATGCTGTGCGAGTCACGGCGGGTGGGATGATGTCTTTAGAAAAAGTCAGAGGTCATCTCTTAAGGTTTACAGAGAGTTATATACATACATCAGACGCCTGGGCTAGCAACGAGAGAGCAGCAACAGAGTAGCGGAAGCAGTTGTCGATAGGGATGAAAGCGATGGGAGGCTCACTGCGCATGCTGGTCTGGCAGATGGCTCGACCGCAAAAGGCATCGCCTTCAGGCGCGGCTGTGTGAACGATCAAGGCTTTTAGCGAGCGTTTAAGAGATTGAAGGAGAGCGTGATGGAGTATGTACGGAACGAACGAACCTTACCACTACCACATGCCGACGGACCATCGGAGCATCGGACGATTCTGACTTTGGATTGCATTCACATCCTCGTTTCCGCTAGCGACGCCAGAAGGACCTCCGATTCCTGTTGCTGAAGACACACTGCATTTGCGCGTGGGTAGCATCTGGGTGAGCTGCGGGAGAGCGTGTCTGTCAACAGTCGTTCTGCCTGTGACTCCATCATGCACAGAGTTTGGAAGGTGGCCGAAACAAGCGAAAAAGGCGGCGCGCGTTACCTCTGGCCAAGGCTGGACTTGTCAGATGGAGAACTTCCTGATGCATCTGACACAGTCCACGTAGCCGAATCAGTTCCCGCGAACCTAATTAGTATAGATAGTGACAGAAGCGCTGCATCATGTACGATACTGCGAATAGGTACAACACGTCGCGGCGATGAGACGCCACAAGGCAGGCAACGGATACCCAGGAGCGGCACCCGACTGGCGCCGGCGACGGGACCAAATCGCAGAGTTCGAGCTCTCGGTGATCGAGGGCAGCGAGGGCAAGCGTCGGGAGTACCGCGTGCTGTACCTCCTGTAGTTCCGGTCAAGGCCCAATCAGGAAAGCGGGAGATATCTTCGGGCGCGCCAGTGCCCGCCGAAACAGCCGAACAATTGGTCATAGCGGTACAGTAAGGAAGTTCGAGGGCCTTTCGGCATGAAGGATAGGAACGGGACTGGTGCTTCATGACCACGCCGATCGTCGGTAACCGCTAAGAAACCCCATCCGACAAATTCTCGCCCATGCACACAGGTAGGATTGGGGCGTGGAAAACTTACGGAGTATCTCATGAGGCACGGATGAGCGAGGCCCAAGACCGGAGGCTTGCAGTGCCACGAGATCATGGATGTCGTATAGAGCGAGATCTCCGCTTGCGCCACTGATAGAGCGTGGTCTTAGGGCGGCTAGCATTGAATTACAAGCGCGACTTTGGCTCTGAATCGTCGCATCGCGCACATGTGACATGAGAGCCTGTTCTCCATCATAAGCCCCCGTAGAGCCGCCAGTAGTCATCGTCCGGTGAACGGAGGCTGTGGAGGAAACTTACCAGCCGTGGCGGCCCAGAAAGTGGACGTTGAGGGGGATGCTTCGGATCCAAAGCGAGGCTTCTAGGCTTGTGCTATGAGCTTGAGATACCATTTCCTCGCAGGGGGCAGGCGGTGTAACTTGGAGTTCTTCCGATGTATTGCGCCCCTCGTGTCAGGCACGGGGATAGGGCTTCTGACGTGTATTCTCACTTCTCATCTTCGGCACAGACCTGCGGCGAGAAAAGCCTCCCGATCGTCGTGTATCCAACTCGGAGTGGCTTGACGGCAACATACAAGGTGCTTCCTCATCGTCCTTCGCAGGAACTAGTACTAGAGAGAAGAGAGGTGATGTAGAGTAACCATTACAAACTCACCAACTAGCAATAAAGCACGGTAGCCCCATGGGCACAAACTCCCAGATACTTGGTCCGAGCAGTGTTGTCAAATGGAATGATGACACCGGGGTCAATGGCGTGGGAACTCCTCCGGGTTCCCGCCCCTCTGAGAATTTCGAGGAATAGTCCAAAGCTAGAAGCCTGAAGGCTTGCATGTCGCTTTCCAGGGTCCGAGGTCAATGACAACTGCTTGGAGCTCGGAAGACTCCGGGTCAGTTCGTGTCGGATAGTCAAATAATTGATGGCCGCAATCAAAAGACAAACCGGCTTTGTTTCGGCGAACCCTTGGTTCTGCCTGGGGCTCGATGCCGGATGCAGATGTGCAACATATGTCTGGATATCATGGCCCGTACATCTTCTGTGTCCAAATATGTCGGCTTGCCAGACTACGTCGGCTCTGGTCCCACCGCCTCCTATCTCGTCTTCCTCGAGGCGACAGGCCCTGCCCTTCCGCTTCTGCGCAGCCATCAAATTTCAACCTCTTCAGTGCACTCTCCGCGATACGGAGGTATGAGTACATCTCCCGGCAGCCAGCTGCGTCTTCTAAATCTCCATCTCCTTCATGATAGATGTGATCTTGCACAAGCGTTACTTGGGAGACTGCTCGAGCCCTTAAGTCCATGCTACACACAGCCCGTACTACGAACTTGCCATCTGTCACACTCGCGCTGTCATATGAAAGCAGCCGTTGCAGCCACTCTCGGGCTTTTGGGTCTATGCAAGCGCACCCGGCAACTGCTGGCCCATCCGCATCACGTCTACTGTGTCTTCCGAGGTGAAACTGAGTTCCCTGTGCGCCATTGACGACATTACTTCTCAGATACTGGCTTGCACTGGCATCCCCCCTCCGCCAGTTTGCGACCGCGGCCTCTTCGCTGTCTATAGTGCCGGAATGCGCACGAAGCTAGAGCCCCTCACGATCAACGAGACATTCTCTCGTCGCGCACGAGCGATCCCCGATACCATTGCCGCCAGCCACCTTGGCGCCACTCTATCCTACCGGCAGCTCGACGAGGCTTCCGATGTGCTCGCACGCGACTTGTGCAAGAAGGGTATCATGAGAGGCTCGAGAGTCTGCCTTCTCATTCGGCGCTCGCTAGACATGCTCGTCGGGATCTTTGGCATCCTCAAGTCGGGCGCGTCGTACATCCCCTTAGACGGCGGAGTAGTCACTGACCAAACACTCGGCTGCATATTGAAAGACTCTAATGCAGCCCTTGTCGTCTGTATGTCCGCGTACATGCATCGTGTTCCCGAAGGATTGGAAGTGTTGCGCTTAGAAGATTTTATGCTCGCCACTTGCGATCACACTACGCAAGACTGCGAGCTTGCTCACGTCCACGATGGAAGCTCCCATTTGGACGAAGCCTACGTGATCTTTACTTCGGGTCTGCTGTCCTCTCTCAGCGCGTATGCCCCTCGTTGACCATAGCCGCAGGTACCACCGGCACGCCCAAGGGCGTGAGCGTATCTCACAGGAATGTGACAAATCGTAAGTATCGTAGCATGCTGCAGCGCGTCCACTTACCACTCCTCTTGGGCTGCCCATAGTGCTGTGCGCCGAACCTGGTAACCTCGGCATCTGCCCTGGAACCAAGGTATCGCAGCTGCTCAGCATAGCGTTCGACATGTGTGTCTGGGAGATACTCGGCTGCCTGCTCAATGGTGGGACGCTTGTCTTGCGGGGCTCGAGCAAGCCGGACTGGGAGACTGCGCTTCGGGCCGTGCATGTCGTGATCGCCACGCCTACGATCCTCCAGTGCTACCGTGCCGTAGACTATCCGGCCATCCGTGTTGTTGCGACCGCAGGAGAGCCATGCCCGCAAGCACTTGCAGACGAGTGGTCTGCAGGGAAAACATTCTACAACTGCTGTGGGCCCACGGAGGTACGCGCGTCGGTGCAACTGGAAAGTTTCTGTAATCGTACTCACGCGACATGACGCAGACTACGATTGTCAATACGATGCATTGCGTCAGGCGCGGGACGTCTCTCTCCATCGGCGTCCCAGTCCCCAACACTCGTGTCTACATCCTCGACGAAGAGCTTCGGCCACTACCAGTGGGCCGCGTAGGCACGATGTGGGCGGCAGGTGCCTGTGTGTCGCTGGGCTATGTGAACAAGCCAGAGCTAACCCGGCAACGGTATCGTCGCGACCCGTTCTGCGACGACGGGTGCGTGCTTCTGTCTACTTTTTTGTCGTGCCCTGAAATTGAAATGCGCATGATAGGTTCATGTTCAACACCGGCGACCTCGGGCGTTGGAATCAACATGGCGAGCTGGAGCATTTCGGTCGGCTAGACGACCAGGTCAAGGTCAAGGTGCGTTCCTCAAGACCCAGACGAGTCGCGCCTTGTTTTCTCATGATCTATGGTTGTTGTCGATGCAGGGGTTTCGGGTTGAGCTCGATGGTGTGACGGCAGTGATGGAAGCCCATCCGAGCGTTGTCAAAGCTGTTTCTCTTCTGATTGACACGGAGCTTTGGGGCTTTGTTAGTCCCTCCTCCGTGCCCCTCGAAGAGCTCAAAGCCTTTGTTCAGGAGCGCCTTCCTTACTATTCCGTTCCGTCACATTTCGTTCCCATGGAGTGTTTTCCGATGACAAAGTACGTCCTACGCTCAGGTTGGACATTTACGCCTGTAGCTCATCTTATGCGTGTAGCACGGGCAAGACAGACAAGCGACTGCTTCGTACAATGGTCACCGGCAGTAGTCCGCCAAGTGCGACGGAGACGGCGTCTCGTGCACAAGGAGCTTCGTGTGGCATCTTCTGATAGACCAACTGATATCCATATGGCTACTACTCGAACATTTCCGATAGATGAGCAGCGACGTAGTCTTACGTTGCGTAGATAGGCAAAAGTTCCTGGATGCAGCTTCTGTTGGTACTTCCATCTCTTCATGGTTTCTCCAGTGTCACCGCGTCGAACTTCGGGCATCGAGATGGAGGATATGATTCCAGTGTTGTGGTTCTGCATTGGCGCCGAATCCTGTCATATGTGCACAACGGACGAACCTTAGCTTTATCTCTAATCCAACACAACAAGAAGCTGCTATTGTACGCGTGCAATCGAGTTATTCTACTGCATCTCCGTTGCTCGCCGGGTGGGTGATTAGACTTGATGGCTCCCGTTGCACCCGGTAACGGATCAATCCGAATCTTGCGGTCGCACCTTTCCCAAGATGTCTCCCGGGTCGTTCTGCGGTCTCGGGCATCCACGAGGCGTGACGACCTGGTTTGGTAAGTGCAGCTTTCAATCTCAGGACAGCAACCTCAGGGCTTACGGCATCTTTCTAGCTTATGGCGTGCCCGCGGGGTCTGTATACTGCGACAGGGCGTTCACAGCTCATCAACCTACCTGTCCTATCTTCTACCCACGCCGTCACGGTGGCCTGACATATTTGGGGGACTTCTGCATCTCAAGGACCAGATGGCTAGGGTGCATCATCATATGGGCATCTTTTTCGACGTGACCGCAGCAAACCGAGTTCCTGAGCGAGTCTGCTTAGGAGCGTTAGTGATATGACTGGCTCGATGTGCAGCCAAGAGAAGTGAATAAGAGGAACAAGCCCTGTGTCCGCATCCCAGGTAACAACGACACACCAGATCTCAGCCAACCTCAGCGTTTCTATCGCCATGCCTAGTACCACAACTCCTCGCGTACCTGCTGGGTGGACTGCTGAGAACGAGGCGCTGTATATCAGGTAAAGTGTCTGTAGATGCACATTCCTTGCAGAGAATGAGCTTGGTATGCTAGGCCGGCGGTTGGCTCCGAGTCCGACATGGCCTGGGCAGCCCGTGCTCTCGACGGGTAGGTCGTGCAGCGCTTGCGTTGCCGCAGATGCTGACTCCTGGGCAGAGAATGGGATTGCTGCCTCGGTTTCGCACTCACCACGAATATCCCCGACCTCCCCAGTGCTGTTACAGAGGGATTGGCCCGTTTGAGGTGCGTCACGGCGGGATTATGGGTAGCCTGCGCTCACCATCGCCCTGCAGATTCTTCACTCCTCTCATTGCGGCGGACATACAGCCCCGCGCGGAGTTTCCAGACAAGCTGTTCTGGGTCTACAGGCCAATGAAAAGCAAGGAAGATGCCCTCGCGTGGGCCAAGGCAACCCTCACTGTGCACGAGACTACTGCAACAGACCAACAAATGATCAACACTATTCTCGACATCAAGCTTCCCTACCACGTCCAAGACGGACACGACCAAATTTTCGGCTGTCACCTCGTTCTGCGTCCAAACGGTGAACATGCTCTATTCATGCATGGGACGCATGCTCTACTCGATGCGCGTCCCTGTTTGAACGCCTTCCGGCGCCTGTTCCAAGTAATCGTTCATCGTGACAAGGAACCCTCTCTAGATGAGCTCGTATATGGCGTCGAAGTCTCCAGTCTTCCTGTAGATCTCGTGCATAATGTTGGCCTGGATCGACTGGAAGCGGCGAAGGCGAGCGGAGTTCGGCTGCCGGAGCAGCTCGACAAGACCCGGGTTTGCATTTCCTCCGTTTATTACCTAGTGTTGTTAAACTCAAACTTGGATTTTGCAGGGTTCGATCGGATTTGCTCCTCAAAGGGAAAAGGCCACTGTGCACGCTCGCCGTGAGCGTGTCGGTGCCAGTATCGACGCTGAGAAGACCGCCCGCTTGCTAGCCGCCTTGAAAGCAGAGGGATTCACCGCGAGCCTACTTTGCGATGCAGCGCTTGCCCTTGCGACGATTAAGTATAATGCCCACCTCGGCGATGACTTGCAATATATTCACGAGGTTACCGTGTACGTCTCCTCGCCGTGCTTCCAGAAATGTCGAGAGCTGATAGTGCCTTACCAGAATCTCTCTTCAGAGATACTTCCCGGCCGATTATCCCACGAAGCAACACTTCGCGTCAAGTATACTCTACGTTCCTCTCGGTGTCTCTACACGTAGCATCAACAGAGAAAAGCCCCTTCGCGATCAGCTCATCGAGACCATGTCTATCCTGCGCAAAGAATACAACACCTACCTCGAGCAACCGTCCTTGCCCTTCATCAATATCGTGGGTGGTATTAATCCATATCAAGGGAAAGTAGACCCCCATCGCCCTGTCTTCACCAACATCGGGGTTATCGAATCCTTCGTTCCGCCCATATGGGGTGGAAAGGACGGCGAGCCGCATTTAGAGCTCCTGGAGCTGAAGTTTGGACATCGCATCACCGTTACTCCATCCCCGTGAGTACAAAGTGAGGGCATACATAATTTACGAGGGACTCACGTAATCCACAGAGTCCTGCATGCGTGGACGTTCCGAAATGTACACCATTGGCAGAATCAAGTAAGTTCTCACTTCGATGTTGCTCGAAAGGGTACTGACAAGTTTAGTCCATGGACATATATGATCCGGAGTCCTTACAGGCGTTCCTCGACGAAGTCATCGCAACCATGCTGACTATTGCGGAATAACAACAGAACTAGTGCACGCTTTACCAATTAGTAGTTCTTAGATTTGAGGTGTACTGGTACTTCAGGGCACAATGTTGAAGCAGAAATATGCCATAAATTTGTATTCCAGTCATGATTACTGCTCCAACGAACGGAGAGAGCTTTGTTAATATCCCTAAACGCTCGAAAGCCACACAAAAGAAAAAAAGAAGGAAAACAAAAAGTGGTACCCACGCATGTTCAAGTCAGAGTGAGCTGAGTCAAAGCTTCGGATCACTGTGCGTGTCTTTGAAGAATACTACGCGAAGTAAACGCATAGATCTTCTCACGTGTCAAAGCAGCCTGAGTGGGGGAGCTTTCAGTGGAAAGAGCTCTGATCTCCTTCCATGGCATCCCGATATTATGGTAAGTTCTCATTTTGCCGGGGCGCGACAAAATTATATCGAATTAGTCGAAGCTTAGCGATAAGCCATACATCGTAGGGAGCGCGAGACGACACCTGTGTAGGACGTCAGAATTAGGGCTGCTCAAACCAAACATACGGAAGCTTACTTTGATCAACGAAGCAGTGGCAAGCGAACTCTATCAGTGGTGGATATTCCAAACAGCTACCTTCCTGGGCCGCACGCTCGTGATAGTCGTCGTATGCTGACCTACCCTTCCCGACCTATCGCGGCGCCGCTCAAAGGATGACAATATAGCATGCGATCGCTTGTGAGCAAGCTTCGACTGGCTGATTTGGACCGTGACACAGGGACCGCCTCGGAGGCCGGCACATGCGAGAGTCTAGTACCTCCTTTCAGAACTGCCAGTTGACGTATGACTACAAACTTGGATTTGTAGCTAACGCATCTCGGCACCCTGGCTTCCTGAAATGGCATGCGAGTACCAGCTTGGTGATGTTATCAGAAAGCCGAAGCCGAAGAGTAGGGTGCTTCGTGCGCATCACCACGAGGTCCGATCCATCTCGCTCAGAAGACTTCTGTAACTGGGAGCGGATTCACACCTGTACTTATGGTTGTATTGCGAAATTATCTGATGAATCCAATCGCAGGTTAAAGCTAAAGCGCGACAGGGAAGCGGCGCAGGTGGGCCTTTGTAAGGGCGATTCAGTGGCATACTGTGGTACGATGCTGAGCTCTGGGCAGTGAACAACGGGCACCCGCCAGACAGCGAGATCCGAGCTCGGGAATAAGAACCTGGGATAGCATCCGGCTTTGCTTATTGTCAGTAGTGCGAATCCCAGTGTGAACGTCGGACCTGGTGCGAGGGGCTTCTCCGGCTAGACCCTCGGTCAGTCACTGAGCGCGGCCCGCTGACAAGTTCCGTTGACAAGTTGCGCGGACGGTATGTCAATGATTGATTATCGGATGCGAGGCAGCGCCGGCGAACCTTTTGCTCTCTGGTAGTGCGTGCTGAAGAGATTGGATTGTCGTGTATAAGAGACCAGCGCATTGCCATTTTAACTTCAATTTGTCGCTATCCAAACCATCAGCTGCGAAAGACTGGCACACAAATCGCGTCTGCATCTCAGTTCCCGGATAGAACCATCAAATTCGAAGTCCCAAGACGAAGGGGGGACAGGCTGCGACGACAGCTCAGGTTAAGGATTTGTATCGCCAACAAGCGGCCAGGAAATGCGCGTATGACAACCATATCTGCCACAGCGACATTAATCAGTACCCTTTGTGGTTGAGATAGTGGGAAATACGGACTGACGTTGTAGACATAGTACGATGTCGCATCGCTGCGGACGGATCTGTATAGCAGAAATCGCAAGCCCACGAAGATGCCTAGGACAACGAAGAGTGCTGCGGCGAAGCTGTTGAGCTCCCACACCCGTGAAAGCGCAAGCGACCATGGGAGAATTGTCGTAATAACGCTTATGCGTGCCCAGCGCTCTGATATGAGCGGGAGAGTGGCACGGCCAACACGTGCGTCGCCCACGACATCTCTGAAGTCCTGCACCTGTATCGTAGTGACAATGATTGCGGCGCTGTTGAATATTGCAAGCTGTGCAGCTGGGTCTAAGTGCTGACAGTCGGTCCCTGCCAGTTTCGTCTTAGCGCAGGAGCTTCCAAAAGCTGGCGTACGCACCGGCCAAAAGCGTCGTGCCCCATTCGAAGGCCGCAAACCCCAAGCCATTCACTATGTTCCGAAACAGCCAGAAGCCAGAGTCGACGTGTAGTTCATTGTATATGAACGTCAGAGCTATGAAAGAGGCACTGGCATACAGCGTCTCTACGCTATATAGAAGCGAGATACCGAGACATAACGGGATTGAGACCCAACGGAGTTTGATAGCGTTGTGGATGGTGATCCGTTTTGCTGGTAGTGGCCGGTGTGCTTTGTTAATAGCATCCTCGTGCATTGCGTACACCTGATTCGCGACAGTAAAATGCAAGAGGTGGATCCAGAGCCAAAATGCCGCACGGAGGGCCCGCGGGAGAGAGTGCACTGGTGCAAGAGCTAAGCTGAACCAGAGCTAACAGATAGTCGCCCGTGTCAATACATAAGACCTACGAACTTCAATAACGGACATACTATCGAAAGGAAGGTTGTCTTCATGTCCGCTTTGGTGAACAAGAAGAGGGTGTATACATGGTGCGCGAAAGTCGAGACGACGGATGGAAGCGGCATAGCGATGTTGAGATAGTGTGGGTCCCGCACAGGACGCACACTGCAGAATATATAGCTCTGCATAAGACATGACCAGCGGGATAGATATCTACAACTCTGTGCCATGCTCACCGCTGTAGGCAGTCCGGAACTTTGCATATTCGCACGAGCAGAGCTGCGTGCAAGCGTGCGCGCTCTTACGTCGGCCAAGCAGCTCGCCATTGTGTGCGAGAAATAGCTACCATGTTCTATCAGAAGATCTCCGTATCGGCTCCAAGAAGGTCTGAAGAACATCCTACCGTGGTCTGCCGACGGTGTTGGCCAACCCTCTTCTCGGTCAGGCGGATGATGATCGGGACACCGCAGGGCGTCAACAGACCAGCGGCAGCCGTCGAACACGGACATTGAGTCAGTAACGTAGTAAGCGCATCGCGTAAGATTGAATTTCATGACGCTCTCTGGATGCTTGATAGCACCGTGGCCGCTACCATGTCATGTGGGCGGCGGGGAGTTTGATAGTCGCCATCACAAACTAAAGCAAGGTGCTTTATGCCTTCTAATACGAGGAGAGGAAACTGGCAGCCTGTCGATGTCTCAGTGACCGTTTTTAAGCCACATTCAAAGGTAACGGCATAGCTAACGGACCACGCCCTAATTATTATTATACTGAGGGCCCAGCACACGCTCTGGGCAGGACGTCCAAAGACGCCTGAGAGTGACACTATGGGATCCCAAAAAAAAAGTTCTCGCCGAGCAACTTGCCAGAGCATGACGTGTTATTTCATGGCAGTTAGCTAGTATCGCTCGTAGGGATGCGATGACGTCTCGTCACTGAACTCTGAGTGCCCGAAGAGACGAACCCATCACGAGCAATCGGTTGCTAAGGGAACAGCCAGAGATAAATGATCCCGCTCGGTACCTGGCGTTCAAGGAGAACGCAAGTTTCCTGGAACACGGCTGAGGCTGTAGACCGTGAGCGGGAACGAGGGGGAGGCGCACCTGACGTCTGGCAAGTTGTCTGCGCCTTTCGGGATGAGATCGCCTTTGGATTCAGAAGGTCGCATGGGGCCATCGCTTCCACCGGCATGCATCGACTTCGCTCGCGTAGGTCCATCATGATCAGCTTAAACGTCGCTGCCAGATGTGTGCGTCGCTCTCATGTCCCGAAGCCTGGTATGTCACCTGTTAGGTTGTGAGCATACCAGGTTGACAAGCTGGCGTCACGTACCGTCTCTGCCATTGGATCGGTGATTAAAATTTCAAAGATGTGCACGTTGCGAATGCCGCATGGTTGAGCAACCTCGTCCTATCGGTGTTAGGTCAAGATGAAAAATTTAAATAAAAAGGCATAAGACGTAGAGATTCACCTCAGACTCGGCACCGTCGTCAGCAGATGGTTCTACGTCTTTCGCGGAACGAGCCAACCGTAAGGACTACAATTTCTTTTCCTCACCAAAACGTCGTTCTTTCTCATGCGGAGCTTCTCCAAGGTCGTGGCTGCGTCTTCAGTGTGGAACGCGGCGCAGCGAGAGAACTGCGCAGAACAAGCTTCAGAGGTCATTCGTACTCGTATTGCGACAGTAACGGGAAGCCTGCGAGTGACTGACGTACTACAGTTGAGATGGCAGTTTAGAAGGCAGGCGACAAAGCATGCAAGGTCTGTGAGCACCAGGTTCCATGTCAGCTGCTTAGAGCCTAAGGCCGCTGAACACCCTCACCTTGAGTGCACTCTACCCCTTCACAGAGAGCTCCATAACCGCTTGGCGACTCGGCAAGTTCTTCACGGTCCCCGACATGGGATGGCAGTCGTTGGACGTTGAGCCCGAGACAGCACGTTATGTTACGTTGTGAGCTGGCGAGAAAGTGGGAGTAGATGTTGTGAGCGAGTGCCAACGCTCCAGCCAGATGAAGCTGGCACATAATGGGGGGGAGGGGGGAACTTGAGCATCCCATGAACGAGTTCTTGTAACCTTAGAATGCATCATCTACCCAGCAGTGGCGGAATACATGGTAGCTCGGGAGGAAACTGATGGGCGCCTGGTCGGATACTCCGGGATCACTACCTGATACTTGCTAGATACGGAATGCCGCCCCAATGCCACCCGCCATTACTTGGTTTGGTATGCACTTACCGGCCCAACTGATGTCGCCCATGAGGAGCTTGGTCCTGTCCCCGCACATGGACAAAGACCCCCATAATCTGTGAAGTACTGATATGGTGAGACATGATGGTCGGTCCTGCTACTCTGACCCTCAGCCTCAGGCGAGATACGGTGCGAAACCAACGCATATTAGAAGCTAGAAACTTTCGCCCCCCCCCCTCTTCCTCTGATGTTTTAGCAACTAACATCTTCTCAGACTTTGGCCAATAACGGTTTGGGTATACCGAACGATGCGATATACATCCTGCATCGTGTTTGGCTGACCATAGGCCCAAACTGGTACCTCTCAGCTTGAAGGAGAGGTGCACATTCCAATTCAAGTTCGCTGCCATTCCTGTTCTTCATTGCACACTAACTGTTTCAAGGTCATCGATATGGAAACAATTCTGATCCATTAATGTGAAGACTGGATATCAGATCGTCGACATTGCTACTGTAAGCTCTGCTATCCGCATGAGCATGCATTGCTCATGATCCCGTCGCATCAGGCGTACCTTCTGCCTTCTCTCAACAGACCAAGCTTCGAGGTCCTTCAAGAAGCATACATTTGCTTAATTTAAATGGCAACTGAAGACAATGGCGTGCAATGGTAGCACATGCAGTTGAGTACGAGCACAGTGGTAACGGCATATTGTTCCAACTGCTCGCGAGCCTCGTTATCACCTCCACCAAGCTGAATCCAGTTCGTTAAATGGTGGGTTGACTGTTTCTCGCACTGCAGCTCTATTGATACTCCTCAGATTATGCGACTTAGTGGCACCAGCAATTTGAACATCGAAGCTGCCAGAGATAAGGACAATTCTCAACCTGCTCGCTGTCGGCATCATTGCGTAGTGTAGGAGACAATCATGGCCACCCACCTGATCTATGGTATATAAGCTGGGACTATGATGGCCTTCCCTGTTCAAATTTATGACGACAAAAATAATGCTGACAACCATATTCTCGCGAGCCAATAATACATGGCCGAGGTTCAAGAGCATCTGTGAGTCTCTGCCTGTCTTTGCAGTCCGCTTGCAAACTCATGTGTGGAACAGTGACCTGAAAGTAAAATATGCGCTTATCGCCAATGAATTTGCTTTCCTCTGTCTCCATGTATCCCCAGACAATGCCGAGGGTCTTATTGCAAAGAAAGAAGCTGAGCTCGCTCAAAGCAGATCATCGCTGAGCCCTTGCCTCTACAAGCTGTGCGAGATACAGCTGCACCTTATGGAGAGCAGTCGTGGCGCTGACGTCGACGTGATGTCTTCCTCGACCTCTCCTCAACCTGGGGCCAAGCCAGCCAAACCGTACCTAGGCCGCGCGCCTGGGCTGATGTACTCTTGCTCGCATGGCTCAATTACAAGTCCATGTTTTCGAGGCACGCTGGATTACAACTCGTATGCACTCTCCAGAACATCGCTTCGGCAGACCCGAAAATGCGCCCGCTGGCCTTGCCGCTTTGCTGACGACTGAGGCCCAGGCAGCCTTGTGGCAAGCCCGCCTCCCAGAGTGGACCTACACGGATGAGAAGGTCAAAAGCGAGTGTCTCATTGTCCGCCTTCGCCTACCGACACGCTGAACAAGTTTCGTAGAGTACGTAAGCGCAAACATTACGATGACCTGTGTTCATCTCCTTCCCTCGTTAAACGGGTTGCAATGCATTAAGTGGCCTCAAGTCTTTCGTTGTTTGATTCTTGCTACTTTTCCTACCACTCAGGTCGTTCGGACTTTCACATGAGGTTTAGCACCGAGCTTTAAGGAGAGCTATCAAGTCCCGTTGTGGTCAAGCTTTTTTGTAGCTTGTCTGGCGAGCTCCGCTCAGATGCCGGACGCCACCCTTAGCGCATGGCGCATCAGTGTGTACAGGCTATTGCACCCACGCGATGTTGTTGAACGCGCGGCGCTCGCTTCGGGACTCTTCCTGAAGTTATCGCTTTGGTTTAAAAACCCCGGTTATTTCAGCCCCGGATCTCCACGATCTAAGCCCCCAGCCCCAAGCTGAGATTTTCATTACGCATTTCGTTCGTATCTCAGGCTAAGATACCCGGCTGAATAGATGGCGAACGACGTTTGCCTTCTCCACAGCGGTGGCCCTTGTCTTCAGCAGTCTTTATCTTGGAAACGATGTCGCTGAATGTAGCTATATGGTAAATTGCACTTATATATAAGTTGCTTGAATGTGCAGCCTCTGATTGAGGTCTACAGCTGTGGAAGAATCAGTGGTCTCTCACTGACCTTAGTCCTTAAGGAGTTTATGACGACTTGTACGAGGCCGATTCGGCATTCACTGAGGTAGGTACCGGGATAACCGTATGGCAACGAACACAGAGCATCTGTGTTTCACTGGGATTGCAAGCAGCGCTGAAGAGCCGGGCTGTCTCTCCCTCGATGACATTGAGGAGGAGCGATACGTTGAAGGGGCCATTCACGTTTCACACATTCGTTACTGCACGTAAGTTTCTCCATCTGCATCTGCACTATGTTCAGTTGCGTGCTTATGTCTGATGCGCCGCAGATGGTAGTATATCACTTGCTCGGCTGGATACGATCCAGCTCCTTGTCGAAAACCTGCAATCAGACTCCACGCCATTCCTCACTATCTGCTTCCCCAAGGAACCAGATTCCCACATACAAGATGCGGACGGGGTCATCCTTCGCTTCTCTGACTGATCTTCGCCTCGGGCAGACTTTCTTGTGGGCGAAGATGACATAGGCTCACTCACTCGGGAGGCGATGTACGCCGGTATCGCCGAGCGCGTCGCTCAGAACGACCCACCGAAGGCAGCCTCGGTCCTTCTGGGCGCATGGCCGACGTGGACAGAAACATACGCGTATCGAACGCTCCGGACAGTGAGATGTTGAGGGCTATCTCTCCAGAGAACGTCATGTTGAGCAGCGGCTTCATGGTGCGAGCAGGTGCGCAAGATGCGGAAGGAGAGATCGCGACCGTCGCCCGCTGGAACATGCATGCGTGTATGTTAGACCCTTCCCTCGTCGTATTGAATGCCATCAGATGCTCATATAATTGCACCATGCCAATACAGACGCGTGAGTTGTTGCTTAGGATGGAATGAAATCTGGACTTCTGGTATTTCATCCATCTCCCGGCGTGCCCCTGGCTCAGCGAAGGAGCTCGCGAGCTGTCACTGGGTTCGAGCCCTCGTAGCAGCGAATTTGCGTACGGCACTCCCTAACCAAAGCTATCTCTCGACAGAACACAACGGGCTCAATCACAGGCTAGATGGAGAACGATTGGGTTGTTATTAGCGTATGATGGCTCAACCTCTAAAGCGAAAGTCTACGATGCGATCTATATCTTGGGCAATTGCACTCGCTACTGGAGAGCCTTTATTTGCTGCATTCCCTATGACAACGACACAACTCGAAGTGAACTGAATCTATCGGGGTCTTCCTCAAGGCCTTGTAAGATGACGATCCACGGCGTTCTCTTGGGTTGAATGAATCTCACCGGAGGGAGAAGTGGGTCTCTCAAAAATTTCAAATACACTCGGACATTCTGTGCAGTATGCGTGGCTGCAGTGCAAGCTCTGGGTCGGACATGCAACACTTACTCCAGGCATATCTAGAAGGCTCTCGAGAAACGACGCTTGATTTCGCCATGATGGGTAATCATTCGGTCGTGCCCCATGATCCAGTAGCAACAGATCCGCATTCTTGGCCTATCAATATCCTGATCGTCACTGGCTGGACGCCATTCCCAGATGGTTATGGTGTCGCCCACTCGCTCTGCTACGTATTTTGAGATACTGTAACCCGAATTAATCGCGACTTTTGGGTCCTTTATAACGCTCTCAGGCACCGGCGCACCAGGGCGAGCTGCACGAAATAATTTGGCAGCACCGTCGAGGTGCTCGCCGCTCAGTGTGAGTACATGGGTCACACCGTCGGCCTTAGTACCTGACTCAGTACGATCAAGAACGCGCTTGGAGAAGACAGAGTTACTCGTAGAGCTTACCAGTAGATTTCAACAATATGCAAAATCGACGTACGTCGAAATGTACCCGGACGGTCATGAGTTGCCCAATACTAGTAGCTACCTTCCAGTCAAAGATGGTGCCGAGCGAGAGCGACAGGCTAGACAGGGCTGATCAGTATCAGCATGAGCTATCGCAAGACGAAGTAGGAAAACACTTGGTCTCAATGCACTGAGCGATCTAATACTGAGCAGCCAGTGGCGGCCACATCGAACCAGCCCCAGCCAGGCCCCGCCGGCACACATGAGGAATTGGGAAGCCATAACCAATCTGCACCGTAGTTAGGGAGTATTCGGTGCGACAATTCGGTAAGCAACGCGTTGCGCCCGGTGGGTAACCAGGCTTCGGTAAGTCAGTAGCACCGCATCAGAACGCCAGTTCTCATCTGAAACGCCGTTAGCTTGTCCCTCAGAGCACGTCGCCCCCGCCAAATGCTAGCTCTACGTCCACAGCGACACATGGTCCAAAGCCCTCCCCAAAGCCCTGCGCAGTCGCGAATCAACGACAGGATTGTATTGGGAGTAGACCAACACCCGACGCGTCGTCCACGCGACGTGCACCGTCAGATGAACACACGCAATGCCAGGCAGAGCGCCCACCTCATCCTGGTCCTGCACAAGTCTATCCTACGTCTTCTGGTGGCAGCAACGCCGAGTCTCGCATGGCTGACTCAGCCAATCCAGATAACTTCCAACTGAGGCCGTTCGCACAAAGGGCTGCCCAACCTTACGTCTATAAATTCCTCCGGGACATCTTCCCGCCTCTGTCCGCGCCTGGCGTCGTGCGCCAGTTCATCGACGCCGGCATGGTGGAGCGCAAGGACCTGGTCGCTTGCTCGCGTTTACCAGAGTCGGACCAGCTGCAGATGCTCCGCTCTGACCTAGGTTTGAATATCCTGCACTCGAGGATGGTAATAGCGGCGTTGCGTCGTCTCTGATGCTCAGGCGATGGTGTGTGCGGGCCCCACGTTCTGCGTGCTTAATCGCATGCATATTGCCTTGGTTTAGGTGAGGTGTACGATTGAAAATCGAGACGTACCAATCATGATCGTAATGTATGTAACAGCATTCTTCTTGACCAAAAGACCCTAGTTTTGGGCTTGAAATGATGAGCAATCATCTCTTGGTGACCAACGGGTTATCGTCGGTATGGGCGCTGTGATCCGCCCAAGATCCGCCTTATCGGGATTGATGACAGTGATTATCAGCAACCTTCCGCATGTGTCTAGGCGGGACTCTTCAGTTTCAAAGTTTCGCGCTTCTTCCATTCTGATGTCCTAAGTGGATACTGAACGTTAACGAACGAAACGCAAGGGCTAGAACACTCGTACTTCCTCCATGCTGAGCTTCGTTTCCGCTGGATACATCAGATCACTTTCGGAAGGCTGCATGGGATCGATACTTCCATCAGCATGAGTTGACTGCTCTCGTGTAGGACCATTGTGATTCAGAACTTGAGTAGTATCACTGGAAAAACGGTGACCGCCTTCGTCTTCCGGATCATGGACCACTGCCTGACAGAAGATAAGTCGCATACTAAGCTGATGATTTATTACCGCGTACCATCTCTGCCGCTGGATCAGTGGTCGAAACTTCGTGACCATGCCCATTACGAACCGATGATATATAACCAGACGCTCGGGTAGTCTCGTCCTGCCAATGGTTATGCACAATCAGAACTGACACAAGGCTGCACAGACTTTACCTCAGACTCAGGATGATCATCGGCGGACGATTCTCTTATCTCATCAAAACGAACTGACGGTGAGGACATCGGACGCTTGGGTCTCGCCGGAACGCTCTTCACTTTCTTGCCGGGCTTTCTAGAGGCATGCGCTGGTGTTTTTGACTTGGAACGCGATCCGATGAGAAAACTTCGCAGAACGAACGCCACAGGCCATTCGTCCTTGTATCGTGACAGCAACGGGAAGCCTGTGCGAGCCTAGGGAGCACAAATGAGACGACAACTGGAAATATATGACGAAGTCTACCTCTCGGTGTAGTGTGGCTTTTGCCTTCGCATCTTGATCTTGCCAGAGTTTTTGCAGGTCCAGATACTTCTTGCAGAGCGTAGACAAGTACGTCTAAGCGTCGTGCTCTATGTCAGCTGCTTAGAGCCTCAAAACGTTCGGCAGCTGCACCTTAAGCGCCTTTTGCTCCTTCACGGAAAGCCCAGGTACTTGTCTAACGGACCGACATATGTTCCATGTTCCTGGGGGTGGGATGGCAGCCATCGCACCTACTACCGCACGTTATGTGTCGCTGTGGCTAGCGAGAAAGACGGTGTTAGACACTGGAAGTTGGTGCGAACGCTCCTGCCGAACAGAGGTGGCACACAATTAGCGGGGAACTTGAACATTTCGTAAGCGAGCCCTGGTGACCTCGGAACATCTCGCTTGTGAGGAAAACGATAACATCGCGCATGCTAGCGCAGAAAAGCAGTCAAAGGGAGAATATATGGAGGAGGATAGCTACGTGATTTTCAAGTTTGTTAAAGGAAACAGGATAACTTAACCCGATCGCGCCCAGGTTTATAGCGCCTAGCCGGGCTAATGTTAGGGCTAGGGTTAAATTTATTTAGGCGCTTGACGTTGCTCCCGCGCTTTGCTCCTTTCTTCTCTCGTACAGTTAGTCAAAGCTTGAGGGCATCTAAGATTGGATTTCTTCAAGCTCTAAGTGAATATTTTAACATCCGAGGCCTTTTTCTTAGAGAGTCATGCATCATAGCGTAGTTTATGTCCGCATCAAGCGAACCGGGCTAGAGTGATTGCGGTTCTGCCTGCAGGTCCCGCCGCCATGCGAGTTACAGGTGCGTCACGCATCTGGCACGCTATTCCAGCGGACTTCCAGCTGAACTATGTATTTCTTTTACAGGTTTTTGCTACAGGGATGAACCTCAGTGACCGTGGGAATCTTCTTGTGACGCAGTGAACTCACTGGCATACATTCCCACGTCACCCGTGCGAGACTTATACGAGGTTGTCCATTTGCTGCAATAACTGGTGCAAATATTAATGCGCCATGCAGTGCTCTTATGCTCTTGCGCATAGCCCTCGCAATTTTGGATCCGGCTAGTACAGAGGGCACTTCTAGGACTCTGCCTGTAGAACCGAACAAGGTACCTCATGCGCGTCAGGTGCGCCTCGTGTTCTTCCTTTTATATTGTTACATACCTTCCCAATATCGCACAAAAAGGCGCACCTTCTTCGGATATATAGCCTGAGGCGCCTTGAGAGCGATTTGTGACCGCCCACCACCTCATTCGCTCTTCGTCGGATCGCGTTCATATTTTGTCCGTGTCTCCCGGCGTTGTCCTCTCTGCTCCATCTTTTCCCCGCTCTCGTGCCAATGCCAGCGCCTCAGCCCGTCGAGCCGAAGATCGGCGTGAGTGAGGTCACTATCCCCAAGGTTCGCGACTGACAATCGTAAGCTGCAGGCGGCGAATTCGTCCGTAGAGTGTCCTCTCTGCGTTGTCGTCGCCGAGAACGGACGTGCACTCAAGAGGCACATCAACCTGGTGCACAAGGAGCTGGAGCAGATAGGGAAGGGGCTGCAAGGAAAGCCTACATTGTGAGTTCCCCGTTCAGCTCAGGCGATGACTCTTCGTCTGAGCGCGCGCTTTGCTCTTTCAGGCATATCCGCTGTCCCTTTCGCGAGCGTGGGTGCTTGTTCACTGCAAGCCAGCGCGGTAACCTCGACACTCACCTCAACAGGCACCTGTCGCTGAAGCCGTGCGTGTGCCCGCATTCCCGGGGAAAGAAGGAGCCGAAAGGGCCTCCGCCGGTCGTAACCACGTCATGCACGTTTCGGAGCGACGACCCCGCTGCCCTCCTCAAGCACCGCAAGAGCGTTCACAAGTATAAGAGCAAGATGCGGGCGAAGAATACACAGATAGTCTGGCCACAGGCCGTGCATCCAAATGGCGGCGTGCCGCCTTCGGGAGAAACACCTCTACAGTCCTCATCTCCTTCAGACCGTGCCCCGGAGCTCGCGCACCTTGCGGTGGATTTAGCCACCTCACACGGTCAGCCTATCCGCTACGAATGGCCCGCCTCACGTGCACGATCTGGGTCCCACCTCGCTTCCGACCCGTGGTCAATGATCAACGAGATCGCCCCCATCCCTGAGGTTGAAGAGCAGATCGATGACCTTGGCGCTAGTTGTAATAGTTTGCCCGAGATGCCCGGAGTGCGGCCGATTAGCCAGCCATCACCTTGGGACCCCGAGGAATATAGCCCCAGAGAATTTGGCTCTTTCTTCGGCGAGCAGGCGAAGCTCACTTCAACATATTGTGGCGCAGATTCACTCTTGCTCTCCAACGACACCGGGGCTGTGCAGGGCGTGGGACCGGGATGGCACCCGGACATCGTCGCGCTGACGTACCTGCCCAAAGTCTCCCGCACTACCCTCAGCGGAGCAGACGCATACGCGATTTCCCTCGACGGCGCAATGGGTCATGCAGAGCCGGGTTGGCACCCGAACGTCGTCTTGAATGTGCACGTACTCGCGCTGGCCTCTGGCGACATGCCCTCCCCTATGTCTGTGGACTCGCAGCTCGAAGATGAAATTCACGCAGAGCTTGGATGCCAGGTGGTCTAGCATCCGGGATCGGTGGCACCGTTTCTTTCGCGGTTTTCACATACGGATTAAAGGTTGCATCATCTCCACATACATGCGGCTCCTATCTCGCCTCCTTCGTCTCACATTCTCCCGCTTCTTCCCTCTCATGCCTGACTTCCTCATGGTAGGCGATGCTCTCCCATCTGTAACACAGAAATACCCATATATTTTCGCTCGCATCTAGCCCCGTATTTTTTTCACAGTAAACTCCATAATCTCGCATACTATACTGACACAGCTCCCTATGCTCGACAATCCTATAATCTATAAGCGACTAGAAATGTAGCTCCTCTCGTACGGTACCGTTTGCGTATAGCACTCTAATGTAATGTTACATCAAGTGAACGAAAATCGTAGCTCTCTCGTGGAAAGGCTATGCGGCACGTCTCCATTGATGGTGCGTTGGTAGAGCGAAGCTAGGACAGCCATCGTCCCCAGTCATTCTAGCGCGCCCAGACTTCGCCGGTCGGAGACTGCGTCTAACGAGTCGGTTCCAAAGTCCGACGCACCGGCCGTCGGCCGACAGTGTTTATCTGTCGGAGTTGAAAGCGGATGGGAACGAGACTAACACACGAGTTCTTTGTACTTCTGACACAATTATCTCTGCTACAGAGGGGGCTCTAGAAAGGCGAAATCGCCCTGCTCAAATGACGAATCGGCGGATTGACGGTGTACAAAGTGGCGCTTTGACTACCGGAAGTGCCGGCCTTGCATCAAACCGGAGCAAACGCTTTGAGATGGTGTTGGTCCAAGTAGGTGATGCTAGTTTCAAGCATCAAAGCATGAAGACATCTGATTTCAATAGGGTTGCATTCCGCCACAGAATGACCGCACTGGCTTACACTGAGAGGACTAGGAGCATGCGGTGGCGGTAAGCAAAGCGCTCCGGTTGTATCACGTGACCGCGACACGACGCGTCGGCCGTCACGACAGCGCTCTTCTGAATATCTTCCACCAGCTCGCTTGAAGGTGAGTATTGATAATTAAGCCCAAAATCACTCTCAAATTTTAGGTACGCTGATTGTCTTGCTGAAATTGACTCATACTTTGACGGTTTTAATAGTTCCATTACGTCTGCACGGTGACCTGTAGTCTGCCGCAGAACGCGGATAATTGAAGTATGCAGAATAATTGCAGACATCAACGCGTGGCCTCTTAGCTTATTTCACGCATTAATATGTCATGAAATAGGTCCTATTCCTATGTATTCACGCGTGCGAACTTGGACCCGCAATATTTCCACGGCATGCCAGGCGTTCATCCATGATTTGTGCAAGCCGTGCAGAATCAGTTACGACACATGAGATGATCAACGCGCCTTCCAGCAACTTCTTCAAGCAACACCGCGCGTCGCCATGTATGCATTGCCCGGCTGCATCTCTCCCTAGACACCTCCACGGAGCCAAATAAGCGCACCCACAAATGCAAATATTCCCTGGCCTCGTGCCCTGCTAAATGCGGTAGGGAAACAATCGATGGTCGACTAGCCAAAAGGCATTTACCGCCCGCTTCATCCTTAAATAGCGGGGCGCCAGGGGGGAGTGAGGTCACCCGCCGCCCGCTGCAGCTTCTCTCAGCGCATCCCGCACATCTCCGCCTCCGAACGTCTCCCCCGCTTCGCCTCTGCCTGCATGCAGACTCAATTCCTTATCACGGGTGTTGACCGGTCTGTGAAGCCAGACCTGGGAGATGTGAGTTCAACAGCTCTGTCTTGGGTTGGTTCTGACCTTGGCGACATCGCAGACAGAAACAAGCCCTGTGTATTGCCCATACCAATTCTGCGAGTGTGCCCGGGGGCGGGGAGAGGCATTACCTAATGGATACGAACTTGTGGAGCACTTTCGTACTGTGCATAGGTACGAGATGCTATACGACGGGTGAGCGGGTTAACCATCTCGTGCACCTGGTCCCTGTACAATTAACCGTTGCTCTCTAGTCGGTATTACTGCCCATACACGTCTCAAGGCTGCACAAGCGCCTCAAAGCAGTACAACGCGACCAGGATACACATTTGCAGGCATCTCGGGCTGAAGCCACTGATGTGCGAATACGCGTTCGGGCAGCAGGATCCAAGGGGTCCCCAACCTGGTGTCACCACATCATGTCCCTTTCGTACCAGCGACAATTCGCATCTCCACAAGCACTACGTTAAGCACCACGGCTACAAGCCGCAAGCTGCCAAGGCGTACAAGCGGGCCGTTAAGAATGCGAATCCGACAGGCCAGGCCGGCGAACAAGCCGCTGAGCGACGAAAGCAGACCGTCAAAGCGCAGAAGCAAGCTGCTAAGACGCGGAAGAAGCAAGCTACAGCGTCCTCATTCGTGCCGCCTGTGATCGCGGGCATCTCGAGCTTCCCTCCAATCCCAGTAACTGCGGCACCTGTCGCCTGCATCGAGCCCATAGCAGCCCCTCATCCTCCAGCATTACAGACCCCCGCCACAGCGCAGGTCACTGGCCGATCTGCCTCGCATAGCGCCACCCGGGAAGCGTTCGGGCATCCTGCTCCCGCTCACGTGACTTCGCCTTCACAGCCGTCCACGCCTGACTGGCAGCCGCCCTCTCCTCCCCCGAGTAAAGCGCCATCTGCGCTCGACATTACCTTCCAACAGCTGTGGAAGGCCGAGGTCACGGAAATCATGTCGAATCCTTATGTTTTGTGGGGCCCTGCAGCCGTGCCTGAGTCCGCGGAGAACGGTCTCTGGGCCTTCTCTCACGCTACCTTCCAGCACACTGCCGTACTCGCGCTTCGCGCTCTCAAAAAGATGCGGGATGCGGAGCCAGAGGCGTGGGATGTCTGGTTCAAGCTCGTTGTCAAGACCTTTCCGGACTTCGCATCCATGACAGCCGACTCTCTCCTCGGGGTCGAAGGCACGGCGCACGGCGCGCTGTGCAAGGATGCGCCTAACAGCGGCTCGCTCGGTGACGATATATTCAAATCTGATGCGTTTGAGTGTGACATGGCCGATGTCAACATGCTCGACGGTAGCGACATGTCCGACTACGATGATATTCTCGAGTACAATATGGTCGGCGACGGCGACACGCCCAATCATGACGGCACTCCCGGCCATGACAACGCCCTCGGCCACAACGCCTATAACCACCGCATACTATCCGACGACGATATGTGCATCGACTAGCACAAGAACATGCGGCGAGGGCTCCATTTCCATCCCTGTCACAAACTGACACGCGCGCACAGTGCACGCTCGCCTACCACCACTTCACCTCGATCAACGACACGACGCGCCTGCTCGCATCGTTCCTGAAGCCCGGCGGTTCGCTCCTCGTGCTCGACTTCCTCCGGCGCGAGTAAATCAGTAGGGAGGACCTCCCCGAGGAGTACCGCCGCATCGTCGCGCACGCCGGCGGCTTCACTGAAGCGCAGATGCGCGATGTCTTCGAGCGTGCGGGCCTCCAGGAGTTCGAGCTCGGGCATGCAGCGAATGCCAGAATACACGAGCGCGATTTAGAGGTGTTCGTTGCGAGGGGAACGCGCTCACACGATGTGTAGCATTTTGTTGAGGTTTCGAGCGTGGCAACGAGGGTATATTCTGAGATGACGGAGTACAGATAGGGGGTGCTAGGGATACACGATGGCGTAGTACGTGGGGTTTTTGTTCTATTGCTACGGTGAGGTTATAGTGTAGCGTCCGTGAGCGCTCCAAGGGTATCTTCCAAGCCAAGATGAAATCTAGAGTCTCGACGGCAAGACAGGTATAATGGTCCGAATGAGGGCGAGTACAATGCAGAGTGGAGCGGGGGTTGGGCAGATAGGACACGGTATACAAGCACCGCCGAGCGACGCGAGAGACAAGAGATACAGTAGAGCAGACAGACATGGGGAGAGGGCTTACGCAGTTGAGCAAGGACTAATGGTGCCAAGTATCGGCGCACAAGGCGGGTGGCGGCGCCAGGGATAAGACGTACGAGGACGACGTCGAACTTTGCGCCGCCGAGCTCGCCCCCCGAGCCAGTCAGTTCTGTGGCGATGGCGTGTGTTTTGGTGGGTGCGATGCCGAGCCCAGCGGCGCGCGCGCTGAAGCGGTCGACCTGCATCAGGCGGCTAGATTAACAGCCTCGCTGCTTACGAGAAATTTGGGAATGCACCATGCCGCTGCTGATGTCGACACCCAAGAGAGACTTCACATGCGGAGCGATCTCGAATGACACGAGCCCTGCACGTACTATCAGCACGAGACGATACACCGTTGGCATAACTTGGATGTGAGTCAAAAGTCAGACGCACCAGTCCCACAAGCAAAGTCCAGTAGCTCCGTCGCCGTAGGGTCGAAGAGTGCAGGATACGTGCGCAGCAGAGAAGCGCCGACGTCGCGCCCTAGCGTACGGAACTCGGGGATAGCGTCGACCTCCTCCGCCTTCGTGTCGAAGTGTTTCTTGTTCTCTCCTGCATAGTCATGACCGTGGGTATGATCAGGGCGTTCGCGACTGTGGCTTCCGTGACTGTGATCGCTGTGTGTCGCGGATGCAGTGGAGGACATGACCAGTCTGCAATGATTTGTTGCGTTGTCTGTACTGTTTGAAGATCAAGATAGTGGACAGTGAGCGAGTTAAGGTAGTGGTAGTACTAACCTCCATATTTATATGTGGAGCACACGCGCTACAAACAGCACGCCATGATCGCAGCACAACCAGTGGAAGTGACCCCAGGTATCATTAATTCGGAGAACCGTGTCGGTGACACGCATGGGTACCTGCCCGGTCGAGTAGTAGGCGCTTTCGAGCTGTATCCTAGCCCTGCGTGAACATGTAACCACTTAGCGTTTAGGGCAAGACGAAGCGAGCTTATGGTTCGAATAATGGCCGTGCCGAGCCGCACCGATCATTCCGTCGCGATGATTCCGAGTCGAAACAGTGATTTAGCGTCCAACCCACGCCGCCACAGAACAGATTGGGGCTGGGAGGTCCCTTTGGATATCATCGAGACTCAGAATTGGGGCCGAGCTAACAACGGACTTGTGATACAGATGCATGCAGTATGAGACATATATACTACACCGGCACTGAAGAATACGACCATTGACTGTCTCAGATATATCATAGTGCTGTCATGCGCTTCTCCTTCTCCACAATTTTCTCAACATGTACTGCAAGCGGAAGCTCGGTCGTGACCTGCGAGTCTGCACCGATGTCCTGGAACGCGAGAGGTAAGCGGCAGTAAGTATGAAGAGGGCGATGACGGCTAACTATGGCGCGCTGCATGTCGGCATGGATGTCGTGCTCAGCACTGGGATCTACGGATCTACTCAAGCGGCGCAAGACGAATCCCGATTTCATACTCCTACGGCCGTCTTCTGTGATAACGCCACCATTAAGGCTGTCGCGCACAAGGAAGGTAGTCAGAGGAGCGCCGTTGGTACAAAGGTCGCGACTCACAGGCTCAGAAGAACGGTTGCGTACACTTGATAGCAATTTTAGCTCGAACACTTCAGAGTGGAAGTGGCATGAAACGCACGAGTACTATACGGAATGCAGACTCCACGTAGTGTTAGCGTTATTCTCAGTAGTGAAGGCAAGCAGAACTTACTTCCCCAATAGATGAAGTCGTTCGGGCGAAGTCTTCTCTGCGGGTCGACGGCTCAATGATTTGCAAAATTCAACTCCGAGACGGTGCATACCAGGAGAATGACGAGAAATACTTCTATCCTGCATTGACAATTAGCATCTAGGGTGCAGACACGGGGACGAATCTAACGCACAGGCAGAGAACGCCAGTTTGGAACATAAAGATCACGGGCGTGGTGATCATATGGTCCCAGCTGTAGAGTACACCGTCATCGTTTATCCTTGTCACGAAGACTAGTTACGCATTACCGGTACAAAGGCGATCTCCTCTTCCGACTCAGGTAGAACGACAACACTGTGGTGATGCCCAGGTTTGTGATGGTGTCGAAGCCCATGGAAAGGTAGAATAACCACTGTTATACATCGGTGAGTTTTACCTCGCAGACGTACGATAAAAATGACAGGACGCACGTCCATGGAATTGAGCGATGACTCGAGAGCAGTACTGTATGATACCCTCGTGATTAGAGCTGCGATTGAATCACAGCATTGACTCACATTTTGCTCCCCAGGGCTAGGCCACGCTGTTCAGTACGGCGTACACAAAATAACAGTCTAGTAGCGTACCAATTAAAAAACCTGAAGATAAGTTTTTCGCGTGAGGCTACGACCTCGAGCATAACGGAACAGGGACACCCACAACAAGTGATAATTACGCATGAACCCTGTGATTAGTAGGGCGCGTTTAGATTTGGCGATGACATCACAGGTGTGCACCGTGACTTACTAGGGTGGCAGTAAGAATTTGGCGGTTTCCGGAGCCTCAGCCCACAATATCGTAGTCAGCGCATTGATGATAATGCTTGCGATATCAACTCACGAGTCCAGATATGCCAGACGAAGTACCTATAGGCTCGCTATGTCACCCGTTAAGCATATAAGAGAGAATATGCAGAAATATACCCTTGTACAACGCAGTCGCTCAATGCCTGCATCGTTCTTAGTAGTTCACTCTTCGACATCGGGCAGAACCTACAGTGCACATGATGAAAGACTATATGACGATATGATTATGCATCGCCAAAGTGAGCACAAGCCAAACGTACCGTAACACTCCTACATAATATAAAGTGTTCAGCGTTTGAGCGGAAGCATCCAAGTGACACATTGACATGCGACGAACCATGGTATCGCGCCTATCAGTCCCTCCACATTACCAAAATTTGTCACCATCAATCTGAAGCCCGGTTAGAAACGAGAGGGTCTCTTTACGTTCTGCGGTAAGAACGAAATGCGCACAGGTAGCAGGTCCATATCGAAGAGAATAGGTTTAGGGCGTTTAAGAACCTGTGCGTAAGCTTAAAATCTTTCTCCGTAGACTTCTAGCGATCAGACGCACCATATTAATGAGATCTATATGTCCATTCTCAGGGTAAATATGGGCCGTCGAGAGTGGTAGACACCTACGAGTGACCGTCCTAGCGGAATTCTGCGCTTTTCACCCGACTGCTTGAGGAAGATATAGCACTGCAGACAGAGGACACCGAAGAAGCTAAATGTTAAGGTAAGCAACCTGGAACTTTCGTACTAGCGTATGGGCTGACATAGCTGATACCACGGTGCCTATCAGGAAAGGCCCGAGGCTCGGGCCGGGTAATAAAGACAGGCTGGCGGGCATGCTTGCCAGGGGAACTGCTGCGGAGGAGGGGAGATCTGTACACTCGAGTTTCAGAGCTGGGAAGGGCAGCTGGTATAAGTATATGCTGGCATGATAGCATCAGCATGCCCTGTGGGCGAAAGTTTGTTCATCACGGGAGAATACGATGGGTATCAACGAAAGTGCGATGTACTCAGTTCAAAGATTGATATCTCGCCACAAGAAGTCCTGCGTCGCCTAGGACATTGTTCGGCATGCCCGTATTTTATCGATAGAAGCAGATGACGGGAGCATACATGCGGACGTTTCGCGGCGCTGGCACGGAAGGCGGAGCGCGGCTGTCATGTATGTAGGGCGGTTCCAGGTAAGACTAGTGTACCTTTAGTCAGAAAATATCAGCTGCTCAGTTCCGTTTTCAATGCTAAATGGATCGAGCACATACACACGTGTGTGATTTTCTCCGCTCCTGCTGTAACTCCTAAGCTCCGCAGCGCATTCACGTAGTCTGCGGTACGTAGGCAGTGTCATGGGGGTACATGTGCCGGAATTCGCCCGCATGTTTCAAGGTATTTCATACGGCTCAGTCTTTCCCCGTCAGATGCGGTTTAGATACAGTCTTAGTCTTGATGAACCTGGCAGACTCAGTATTATCGGCTGAACTTCCGAAGACGGTACCAATTGGTGCACAAGGAGGTAGAAGTGATTCGTGTGTTCTGGTAGCGTGTAATGCGAGCACATGTTCTATAAGTCAAAATTTCCTTTAGTACCTTCCGGAGACGTGAACGACGTCGCTTGGAAACTTCTAAGGCTCCAGATCGCGCTGCAGCGGCCCTATCTGTGAAATTTCTCAGTGCGGCGCTGGTCAGCGTTACTGGCAGTGCCACAGGTAGTCGACGTTATCGAAGACAGCTGCATGGTAACAGCTATGTATGCAGGGGGAACGAGTTATATACGAGATCGGGTGGGAACGAGACGCGCTTGGTAGTCACTGGCGTGCTGCGGATGCACGTGAATATCACGTGATGCATCGCGTTGCCGATATGACGTCGCCACGCAACGGGGCACACGTTCCCACCGGCACGCCTGGAGTTACAGCACATACCTTACAATGCAGGTGTAAATACACAATTAATTGGAGCGTTTTTCTATTACTATGAGCTGAGGCAGACGGCAAGTTTCGACGGGACGCGCCCACGGGCGCAAATAAAAGATCACGTGATAATTGCTCGCATGAACTTACAAAAAATGCTTTCCCAGGCCCGAATTCCGAATTCCTCGTACGTGTCAAACTTCTAGTTAACCGGAAACCGCATTAACACTTTCCGCGTTACTCGAATTCATGTGTGTGCCTTTAGGTACTACTACGTCTGTCCCACGGCCATGGCTAGCAATGCACCTGTGACACCAAAAATTGCAGATGTGAGTAAAGATTCGTATTTCGGGACTTAGACCTATGCTGAGATCTATATGTTCAGACAGAAAATACTCCAGTACCTTGTCCCTTTAACGATTGCTCATACCCTAAAGACATGCTACACAATGGATACGTACTAAGGGATCATTTTATGACTTGGCATAAAGAGAGACTGCAGAAAGACGGGTGAGTACTACATCTGAATTGCGCCTGTGTCTTAATGCGAGTACATATTCCATACTGCAGCGCCTTTTTTTGCCCATTTCAAACGCAAGGGTGTGTTGCTGGACCGATGAAGCAGTATGGAAGCCTAAAAACACACCTAAATCGCCACCTCTCGTTGTTGCCGTATCAGTGTCCGCACACTATCGGGCAGCAGGAGCCCCTTGGTCCACCAGAAGTTGTCCGTAATCCATGCCCCTTCCGCACCAGCGATCCCGCCCACCTCACTCGCCATCGTGAAACGCACCATTCATATATGCGAGCACAGGCAAAAATAATAAAGAAGACAGCGAAGCAAGCTCAGACGGAGGTGCTGATTCCTCATCCGCCTGTCACGTTCCTCCCACCCCAGTGGGCTCCTCTGACTCCTACTCCTCACACCGTTGCACCTGTATCAATAGCTGGCTCAAGCACATTTCAAATTCCAGTCATGCCCCGCTTGCAGCCTCACTCGCAGCAAGATTCAACGAATATGCCGAACTCTAAGCCGCGAGATCCCACTTCCACAGAAAAAGAGGTTCCATTTTCACCGATCCCTCTCTCCGCTCCTCCTGCATCGGCCGCTGCCTTGCCGTCACTCTGCCCTCAAGTTCTGTTCCCCTCGTTACATCATGATTGGCAAGGCGAAGATTCTGCGTTGGCCAGATCTTGCGCTAGCATCACAGATGAAATCCCGTCACAGAAAGTCGTACCGTCCCTTGCCGCTCTTTGCCTCGATCCTCCATCTACTTCTGATGGTAGTTCCAGCGTTGTGGCCCAGGAATCTCCACCGCTGCGTCGTATACGCGACACGACTCCCGCACCGGTTGCCGTGCCACTAATCCCAAACCTCGTCGCCCAGGCCACCCCTGCGAGATCAGCCTCTTTAAGTCCCGTTCCTCTGCCAGACCTAGGTCTTGTACAAGCACATATACCGAATGCCCCAGCGCATTCAGCCTCACCGCTCCCGTCCACTCTTAGTCCTGTTGTTCTACCCATCGCTTCTCTACCTTCCACAGATTTTGCCGCCGAAAGCGACCCACTGCGCCCAGACCCTGAGCACGAGTTTATTGCCGAGTCGCCTACATCTACAAATGAGGTATTGGAGGCTTCGCCGCCCGCAACACCACGGCGGGGCGGCACAATGTTTCCGATCTCAAGCGTTCGGGCGACAGCTGACGCGCATCGGGTGTCCCCGTCCTTTGGCCAATCCCCATTGGAGCCCACGGACACTTTCAAGGCCTGGCGTCGTAAGAAGACTAGAGAGTATTCATTGGATGGCGCTCCAAAGGACTCTGGAACATCTTCGGGCGGCGCCTCGGCGTTAGAGAAGGCGCAGGAGTACGGGTCGCCCCAACGACACGACAAGCTGTCCCGGAAAGCGCGCCCTGCACCCTATCCCGCTCTGGGCGAGGACCGCCACACAATGCGCTCCACGTCTACCAACAGTGACGCTGTCCGGCGCGGCTCTCCATCTGACATTTCTCGCATTGAACGCCCCGAGGGATTTCCGTCTCCTGTGCGCTGAGGCGGGACGGGTTGGACATGACGGTTGTGTAAATTTGCTGCGGCGTCTGTGATCACTCTCGGTCTTTGTTTCGTCCGGCTTACTGTGCTTATGCACGTTATAGTCTTCGTTCGTCCCTCGTATATTCCCTACACGTCTTTATCTCACAACGCCCCAAGTCTTATTTCGGAGCTTATATTTCACGTTTATATTGACATAGGTCTTTGGATACACTCAGATCGTGCGATAGTGCAACATGTCGAGCTCTCAGCAAGTACATATCTGCGGCTCCCAGTTCTGTCGCTCATCCGCCTCACGACGGGGTTCGCAGAGGTTAGTCTGGAAACAACATCGGCCGTCTCCATAGACGCTACGGAAACCAGTCAGCGCAGTTTTATGACCAAAATTCGAACATACATACCTTCATTCGTTCCACATTAGCCGATTTTCCCCGGGCTGCACACCAAAAAATTAGGGCAGCCTATTCCAGATATCCGCGCGGAGCTTCGCGAAATTCTGACGAACGCGCGTAACACACCGGCCGCAAAACCCGTGCGCATGGTCGCATCGCTCGATCAGCCGCTTCAGCTCCTGCAAGCAGTCGAGGTTCTGACATACGCCCGCGCACTGCATCTCGGTCTGGAGGGACTCGAACTTGCAGATGCAGCCCGTATCGCGGCGGCCGTATGCGTCAGTCACGGGCACCATGTTGTCGGCAAAGTGCGCAAAGTAGTACTCGAGCATTGCGTCGCGGCCCTTGGTGAAGCGGACCGCGTTGCAATCGTCGAGTGAGAACCACCGAGCGGCGTGCGAGTTCGCCACTGGGTACGACTGCGCTGGCAGGCTGGGCCGCTCTGGGACATCGTGCCAGTCACGCTTCGTGGGGAGCACAGCGAGATGATAAAATGCGGCGGGGAGTATGGAAGGAATATCGTAGGCGGTCGCAAACTGGATCGCGGAGACGGGTTCTGGTAAGATGTCGTGCGTAGCGGTAGATTGGAGCTCTATTTGCCGTATCTCCCAACCCGCCAGCGTTGTGGGCCATTCCTTGCGGACATGCTCCTTGATGACCGACACGATACCAGGAATCTTGTACTTGTCTGAGATGTCGAGCAGACCTGATAGGAGTAGAGGGGAGTCCGCGCGTCTGCCTGCCGCTAGTCTGCGAGGCAAGGAACTGATGTCAACTAGTTAGCAAATGACAACCGAATATGCTTTGGAAACGCACGAGATGTCATATATAACTTCAATTAAGCGTGCAACATCCTCCGCACAGTCCTCTTCTGGCATCCGCACTAGAGGGACACAGTCGTATTCCTCGATGGCGTCTCCACCAGTAGCCGCGGCTATCATGCCTCGCAGGCCTACCGCGTAGTGCGATAGGAACAGCCGATGCACACGAAAGATGTATGTCAGCATGTCCGATTCGCGGGCAGAGAGTGCTATGTCGCCGTCTGCGAAGTACAGAGAAGGGTGCTCGAGCGTTTGAGGGCTTGGGGTGGGACTGCTGGCGACAGAGACATCGGCCATAGAAGGTGCTTGGCATACCGAAATCTCGTCCTCTTCATAATATTCATGCTCATGTTCCATCTTTGTAGCCGCCTGTGAGACGATAAACCACTAGCTGAGGGGGGGGGGGGTGGGCGAGAGGATCAGCGCGTTGCAAACGGCATTTAAACTTGGCTCGGTTGATCGTCATATGGCTTGTGGTGCTCCTACAATAGATGTCAGTTAGCATCAAATGCCTTGGGAAATAGGTGTGCCAGTAACGAGATTTGAATGCACATACGCTGCCTCAGTCGGACGATTGCCATCTTGGCAGCGGTACTCCGGCGAGAAAGGCAGCTATCACGCTTCGCGCGGCGCAATTCCTGGAGGAAGCTCATGTGACACAGTGTGCGAGACATCTGCAATGTCGCCATTGCCCTTGTTGCAAATTGAATATCCCCACCGGGGAACGTTGTATCATGAACGTGATGCAAAGCACGTTCTGCCGCAATGCTCTGCGTGACCGATATCAACCCTAGACCCAGCTTGGTACCTTCAGAGTAAAGTGCTTACTTCAAGATGATGTGGGTGGTCCCAGATGGCCGTCGCGCGAAAGCCGCGTATTTTCTTGTCGTCCTTGGGGCGTTAGAGTGCCCGGCTACGTACGCGGTAGGCCCTGCTTATGCCTGAGAAGAGTAATTTTCCTGGATGAGCTAAAGAGTCGCCATCATCAGACTTGGCAAAAGTCATCGACACCACGCTTGAATGTGGACGCGGTCATGGCTGTAGTCAGGGTGTGGGTACGAACGGTCTGATGGCAGCTGCGCCATCAGATGCGCCCTTTAGCGCATCAGCCGGCATGGTGGCGTGTCATATCACGGCAAACTCCGTCCTCCCCGACTTTGAGTCGAAGCGTACAGCACAGATGCAGCTCTGATCACGTCGCATTAAATTACGTGAGATGTTGCGCTCCTATACATTCGGATCAATATCTTTTGCATTGAACTCTCTGCAAGGCTTTATACTGGCAGTCTAGACGAGTCGGGAAGAACCGAAAGACTCGAGGTCGTCTACCAGCGCGGTACCTTTGTTGATGTCCTGGAGCTAAAACATGCGCTACAGAGGATCAATATAAGCCCCCCCCCCGGGCTTGGCGGGCAGCATTCATATTGCTCATTAGAACATACACGAGAGCGAGAGCCAGATGTGGAAAGCACCTAAGACCGCGCGAGCACACAAGCAGGACAGTCGCACCTTAAGGGCGGGCAGAGAGCCTCAGCAAAAGGGACGACAAGCCGAAGACCCATATATTTACAGTGCCGTACATCTTCACCTACGGGTCTACAACACTACCAAGCTCTTCTGGCAGCATGGTTGCGGTACCGCAGGTACCAGCGCACCTCCTACGTCCGCGCCGAGGAAAGCGTACCATACCACCAGACGATGATACAGAGACGCCTGTATTTAACCTTCTCGTCCATAGACAAGTTCTCTACGGGAAACGGGCTTTTCCACGCTTCAGGACGCACCCAAAGTCCTTCGCGAGGATGTCCGGGTCAAATCACCTGCAGATCAGTGCGCGTCAATGCGCAAGTGTCCGCCGAGGCGATGTGCACGTATCTGAGCTGCTGCTGATATACTTACAAAGGATTGGTTCCAGATGGTGTGGCGCAACCAGAGCGCGATAGCTCCGGGACTGGGTTCATGTGTGGCTCAGATGGCTCCGCTACTAGATAAGAAGTGATCGCCGGGGACATGACCACGACGTCAACGCTGTATTTGCTCCCCACGAGCTATAAATTTATCCTGTGTTGTGTAGGAAGGCTAGGAGGTGACGTGGACATGCCCTAAGCGAACCCCGCTTCGTCGCGATGAGCTTCTCTGCGCTGTTCGAGCGACATGCAGAGCGTGGATAAGGTCGATGATGATCGCGGAACACTGCCTTTAGATCGCTGTCGATGTGCCAGCTTACAAACGGGGAGCAGGGGAGGGAGGAACTCACAAACCCTCGTACGTCCCGATCACAGGCTTATTATCAGCAAGGATGTGGTTAATTTGGAGATCGTGTATAACGATCTATATATGATAGAGTGCCGGTGCATGTACGATAAATCATACCGTGGCCACGATGTACTCCTGCGCATCGGTGCCGAGAGAAAGCAAATCAAGGACGACCTTGATTCCCAGTGGCTCGAGGACTTTCAAGTCGCCAAGTTCGGGTATCTGTGGAGTTTTGACAGAGCTGCAGTGTGAACGCGGTCCTACCAAACAACAAAGTAAAGCGGGAAGCATGTAAAGAGAAAAAGAAAAAGAAAGAAAGATTACTTTGTGGACTGTCGATCCACTGTATCGCTTTCCGTCGTGCCCGAACTTAACTTCGCGAGTTATTGCATCCCGTAGGATTTATTACCTCATTGAGACTTCGTAGACGCATCCTTCTGATTAGAGAGGACTCTGAAATTCTGTCTGCCAAGAACAAAAATTCAGATATTCGGGGTTCTTGGATTTCTTGAGGTACCCCATAGGACTCGCCAGATGACCGTCGTCACCTCGAGCTAAGCGAGCTGCTGCTGGAGGCACTACATGTAAAAGTCAGTAAAATCAGCGGATATATGCTGCACAATATGTGAGTCGAAGTCTCTCCCGGCCGCCGCGCACCTAACCCAACCGCAGCCAATCCCCGATGACATCAGCGCCATCACTTCGTGAGCTTACTCGATTAGTAGACCTTGGTATCAGTTGTTTGGAGAGTAAACAATTCACTAATTATCGAATCGCAGCTCAATAGTAAAGTTTTCTATCGAGACAACATCAGGATAACCCCTACCTCGACCTCGCCACCTCCAACCTGCACCTGTACTCCCTTCGTCTCTCTGGAGAGATTGCGGCATTTCTTGTGCTCACAACACACACCTTTAATATTATTGGGCGACACATGACCTGCTATGGCTGCCTTTGCCTCCGGCTTCTAGGCCGAAAGTCCCATGCGCTGCGAGAACTAGCCTAAGACAGACGTGAAGACGCTCTATGAAAGGCTACAATACGTCCTTAAGAAGGTTTCATAATGGCCTGGAGCCCGGTCGCGACACTCTGCGGCGATGTTCACGGCCGGCTGTGAGACCTCAAGCACCCTCGCAAAGATAGCATTTCGCCAGACGCAGGATACACGGTTATGGAACGTGAGCTACCGTCGAATTCCGCTATCCCCGCCTGCTGAGCGTACTCAAGGGTACCTTCTTCGACAGCGAGCACCACAGTCTCGAGACGGTCTCGCTTCTGCTCGCCTGAAGGCAAAATGCATCTGGACGCTGCATGTGCCGAGCCCTGGGAGTTTTCTCAGCACATATATCGTGACAAGGAGATAGTTCGGCGAGGGAATGACTAGAAGAAGCAGATGCATGGCCTCTACGGTGCGTCCCGCAGTTGGATGTATGCTGCCATTACGTGCTCATGTGGTTTTTAGACAGTGATAATAGAAGTACGACAACACACTCGTCTGGAAGCGGTCTATGAGTGTAAGTCCTTCCCTCCCCTGTCTTCGCTCCACCACTTCACGACCCACAAGTCCTCAACTGCGAGATGCTTTGCGTGCGTGATAAATCGTCGCTGGGCGTCCGAACACTGGATCAGGAACACGTTCGGTGAACACCCCTGTCGGCTTCTCGCACGCCTCCTGAACTACCGCGCAATCCGACGCGGTCTTGCCCTGATGAGGTCAAGAATCTCTGATAATGCGAGCTGGTTCTTCAACGCAGACATCACGCAAAAACTCAACAACACCGATTTACTTGTCCACATTTCGCTCATCTAGACCTGCATCTAAACGAGCGCTGTGCTCGCCCTCCTCGTCCATAACATCATCCTGCGCGCGCACCGGCTCGTCCAGGAGGACTACAGGCACTTAACTGTGTGCGACGCTGCTCCCGAAACGAGAACGGCAATAAGAACTGGAGGCTGGTGAGTTGCACAGTCGCCAGCAAGAGCATTTTTGGGGGTGCTAATGATAAATGTAGGGCGTAACGCGGTATCTGCATGGATAGTATCTCGTACATCACTTGTAGCCATCTTATATCAACCAGAGTCTCCGGTAGCGGCGCGTGTCGCTGCCGTCGATTGAGTCTGTTCGCGAGCGTAGCCGGCTTTGATACGGAAAGGTCGCAGGATAGCCGATCTAAATGGTTTTCCACTTTCTAAGCTTCTGGTAAAATTGGGTTTCATGCTTTGTTTTGGTCGTATGACGATGCAAGAAGAGTTCAGCGGAGTACCCGACGCACTGTGCGTAATCGTTGAAATTTAGTGCATGTACTGAGATAAGTATGCGCAGGTAACACTCGAGCACGAGAACAAAAGAATGGCCTTTTGGTGGTCAATTCGTTAGAACTTTGTCCCGGACAGAGCTTGATTTCGACGAGCGTCCTTGACCAGCACCGTTCGGTCAGTCATCAGGCCTTCAGGTCCAGAGCTCCTGATGTCGCAAGGTTGGTGCGTCCCTGATCTGCGTACATTAATGGGCCTTATGGAGTAAAAGCGCGCTCGTTGAGTGTGTTGGCAGCGCAAGAAGTACTAGTCTCAATATCGGGCAAAAGCGCAATGCCCTAAGGTAGAAGTGCGCCTCGGAATGAAACCGGGCCAGAGATTCCCGCTTCCGGTACTAATTCTATCATGCGTCTTTGGAGCCTGCCGAACTCGGGAGAATCGTTGGGAATGGAGGCTTGTTAGCCTCCTGTTGCGGCGAACGCATCATTACGACAGCTTATTCAGCGCGCACGGGGCAACAGGCTCACGCCCTTTGCTTCCTTCACCTTCCTTCACGGAACAAGTTCTGGCAGAATTGATATCACGAGGAACGACAATGCGGAAGCTTCGTCGCGAGAGTGCTCAGAGAGTATATATACCACAGGGATGTGGGAGCGACGAGCCCAAGTGTTCCCACCCCCCGCACTTGACACACAGACCAATTTTCTTGGACATAAGACTGGCAACATGACTGAGGCTCCAAAGGCGAAGATGTCATACGGTATGGCTAACATGCACGGCCTGGTAGACTCAATGCTGAAGAAATCTTAATATAGTACGCCTGGGCAACTCTGGGCTAAAGGTGTCCAAGATTATCCTTGGGTGCATGTCCTACGGTCTCAAGGGCTGGGCAGACTGGGTCCTCGATGAGGAGGAGGCCATCAAGCACATCAAATACGCGTGAGCACTTGCGATACTGCTAGGCTGCCTCGTAGATGCCGACTTACTTTGCTCCCTGGCTAGGCACGATGCCGGCATACAGACATTTGACACCGCCAATGTGCGTACGCTGTCGTATATCCTGTGTCAATGCAGCTTGGCTTAATGGTCCAATCGCCAGGTTTACTCCAACGGCCATTCGGAGGTTATCCTTGGCAACGCTATCCGCAAGCTAGGGCTTCGGCGCGAGGAGTTAGTCATCATGACCAAAGTATGCTTACTATGTCAACCTCCGGCCTTTCTCCGACTGAATCGTTGCCCGATAGCTCTCTGGTGCGATGTCCACAGACCCGAACGTCAATATCTTCCGCTCGGGTAAGACGCCTCAAGAATTTGGTATTATTAATCAGATAGGACTGAACCGCAAGGTTCGCGATCTTGCTCTGAAGCATCTGCACAAAGTTTGTTAACTTGAACTATATAGCAC